CCGCCACCGCCACGTTAATATTGACCGTAGCTGAACGAGAGGGCTGCCCGTTGTCCTCCACTACAACAGTGAGCTTCTGCTTCACAGCATCTTTATCGGTCACTTGGCGTACAGTTCTTATTTCTCCATTCTGTGCGCCCACTTCAAACAGCGCCCTGTCTGTGGCTTTCTGCAGTTTATATGAGAGCCAGGCATTCTGTCCAGAGTCCACATCAACAGCCACCACTTTAGTCACAAGATAGCCCACATCTGCTGAGCGAGGCACCATTTCAGCCACCACAGAGCCCCCAGTCTGGACTGGGTACAGAACCTGAGGCGCGTTGTCGTTCTGGTCCTGTATTAAAATGTTGACTGTCGCATTGCTGCTGAGAGTAGGTGAGCCTCCATCTTGCGCCTTAACTGTAAATCTGATCTTTTTGATTTGTTCATAATCAAATGGTCGTACTGCATACATTATGCCTGTTTCAGAGTTGATGGATATATAAGAGGACACTGGATCCTCACCGATTTGTGTCTCATGTATAAAATAAGAGACTCTCGCATTCTGATTCGAGTCTGGATCTTGTGCATTAACAGTGAATATAGACGTACCAGGAGAGTTATTTTCCAGTACTGTAGTATAATACGCATTCTGTTCAAATACTGGAGGGTTGTCATTAATGTCAGAAACTCTAAGATGCAACATTTTTGAGGTGGAAAGAGGTGGCGAGCCACTGTCCGTCGCTGTTACAGATATATTATATTCTGCCTTTGTCTCTCGGTCAAGCAATGCATCTGTCACTAATGTGTAGTAATTTGCAAGAGTTGATTTGATTTTAAAAGAGAGTCTATCGTCTATTGTACACGTGATCTGCCCATTTCTTCCTGAGTCGGCGTCTTTGACATTTATTATGGCTATCGTGGTACTTAGCGGTGAATCCTCGGATAGAGGGCTCGAAAAAGACATAATATTAATGACAGGTGTGTTATCATTCACATCAGACACCTCTATCATCACCTTACTGGTATCAGTCAGTCCGCCCTGATCTTTGACTTCTACTCTAATTTCGTAACGCTTATCTTTTTCAAAATCAATATTACCTGCGACAGTAACAACGCCAGAAGTTCCGTCAATATGAAATATTTCGGCTAAATGTTCTTTAAGATTGGAAAATGCATATGATACTTTACCATTCGAACTGCTATCTGCATCGGTTGCGTTCACTGTTGTGATATACGTGCCAATTGCTGCATTTTCCATTACAGTGGCTTTGTATAGGGTTTGATTGAACACGGGCGCATTATCATTCACATCTAACACCGTAACGTCTATATTAACAGTGCCAGACCTCTGTGGATTTCCGCCATCGACAGCGATCAGCTTTAGCGAGAGCTGAGGATGCTCTTCTCGGTCTAAAGCTTTTTGCAGCACCATTTCTGCATATTTACTGCCATCGGGATTAGAATGTTGTTTTATAACAAAATTATCATTTTTAGTCAAGATATAATTTTGCAGGGCATTAATGCCAACATCCGGGTCCTCAGCGGTTGCTAAAGCAAAGCGTGAGCCAAGCGCTGCCGACTCGCTGATTTCGAAGCTCATTTGATTCTTTCGAAATATGGGCGAATTGTCATTAATATCAGTGATTTCAACCGTCACCTGATGCAGCTCCATCGGATTCTCCAGAATGATCTCGAAGCTGAAGCTACAGGGCGTGATCTCCCCACAAAGCTGCTCTCTGTCTATTCTCTCGCTCACCACTAGAATCCCTTTGTCTGGTTTTAGCTCGGCGTACTGAGTGCTGTCTTCGGTCACGATGCGCGCTCGTCCTCTCTGGAGCCTTTTCAAGTCCAAACCAAGATCTTGCGCTACGTTACCAATCAGCGAGCCCTTTTTCATCTCCTCCGGAACAGAGTAACGAATTTGACAGTCAATCGTATAAGAAAAAATGTACATAAGAAACAATGTTACTTGCCACCTCATTGCGCAGCCTAACCAATGGACCACTGCGTAGCTTCCCAAACGAATCTCGTTGAAGATATTAAAAAGTTGCAAATACGTGAAAAAGACAGAGCAAAGAAACAAGATCAGTTTCCAGAAAAGAGAAATCAAATAAATAGAGGTCCTTCTGTCTCAGACAGAAAAGCCGAAACCGTCTTAACAATGGACTGAGCAATGTCTGCTTCTCTCTCCTCTGGTACTGCGCAGTAACAAGGAGGAGCCTCATGAGCTTAAACAAGGTTCAAAAATTGTTTCGTTGACCAACAGCGGCACACACAGTCCAAAACAAGCAAGCAGCAGAAGCAATATGTTACAAATGACAGAGACTCCAATAATAATAATAAAATAATAATAATAATAAAAAAAGTCAAAGCAAACACACACACACGCAAAGTCGCTGTCCACGGTGGTGGTGCTGAAGCCATTATACATGAAATTAATTTGACTTAGCACAAATCCGTCAGCAATATTGTACTTTTATTTCTGAAAATATTTTTAAATACTTCACTAACCTCGACAGGTGAGTCTGCGTCATCCAGGACGTTTTTCTGGCTGATTTGACGCTGCGTTGTTCCTGTACAACTGGGATCCACCACCAATACATTCTGACTACAAGGTCTTACAAATTGACAGTCACTCTTTCTTGAGTCAGTGGTTCTGTACACGTCGTAGTTATACAAGTGCTGCAAAGTCCCTGTGCCTCCAGCGTCTGCATAACGCGGTGGATAATAAGGGATGACTGGGAGACTAGACTGATAAAATATGCGAGACTGCCTCCATCTGTAGATCTTAACTGATATTATAACTACTAAACACGTTACGAAGAGAAATGAAACTACAGCCAAGGCCAAGACTAGATAGAAAGTCAGGTTGTCGTTGTAATCCTTGTCGTGCGTAAAGTCAGTGAGCTCCGAGAGCACTTCAGGGAAACTGTCCGCCACCGCCACGTTAATATTGACCGTAGCTGAACGAGAGGGCTGCCCGTTGTCCTCCACTACAACAGTGAGCTTCTGCTTCACAGCATCTTTATCGGTCACTTGGCGCACAGTTCTTACTTCTCCATTCTGTGCGCCCACTTCAAACAGCGCCCTGTCTGTGGCTTTCTGCAGTTTATATGAGAGCCAGGCATTCTGTCCAGAGTCCACATCAACAGCCACCACTTTAGTCACAAGATAGCCCACATCTGCTGAGCGAGGCACCATTTCAGCCACCACAGAGCCCCCAGTCTGGACTGGGTACAGAACCTGAGGCGCGTTGTCGTTCTCATCTTTGATCAAAACGTTTATTGTGGCATTGCTAGTTAAGGGAGGGGAGCCTCCATCTTGAGCTTTAATGATGAACGTGAGCTGTTTAACCTGCTCATAATCAAAAGAGCGCACTGCATTTAAAACTCCAGTTTCGGCGTTAATGGACACTAAAGAGGACACAGGTGTTCCACCAATTTGTTGTTCCGCGAGAAAATAAGAGACTCGTGCATTTTGATACCAGTCCGAGTCTCTAGCACTGACTGTAAAAAGAGACAACCCAGGTGAATTATTTTCTGAGACATAAACAGAGTATGCGTGCTTTTCAAATACAGGCGCGTTATCATTAACGTCTGACAGAGTGAGGCGTAAAGTGGCAGAGCTGGAAAGAGGAGGTGAACCGGAATCAGTGGCTATTATAGTGATGTTATATTCTGCCACAGTTTCACGGTCCAAATGAGCGTCAGTGAGTAAGTTATAATAGTCCGATAGAGAGGATCTTATTTGAAAAGGCATTCCTTTGTTTATCGAGCAAGTCACTCGTCCATTATCATCCGAGTCATAATCTTTAATTTTGATTACTGCTACTGTTGTGCCGGGAGGAGCATCCTCTGATATAGTACTGCTAAAAGACATGACGGTAATAACGGGTGCGTTATCGTTAACATCTATAACCTCGATTATTATCTTACTGGAGTCAGTTAGTCCTCCCTGATCTTTAGCCTCGACTCTGATTTCATACCTTTTGTCTTTTTCATAATCAACCTGCCCCAGAACCGAAACGAGTCCCGAGTTTTCGTCAATACTGAACATGTCAGCAACGTTTCCTTTAAGCTTAGAAAAATAAAATGTAATCTTGCCATTTGACCCGCTGTCAGCATCAGTTGCATTCACGGTTGTTACATACGTGCCTTTAAGTGCGTTCTCCATCACCGAAGCCCTGTATTCTGTCTGGTTAAAAACGGGGACGTTGTCATTCGCATCTAACACAGTAACATCAATATTAACAGTGCCAGACCTCTGAGGATTCCCGCCATCTACAGCAATCAGCTTCAGAGATAAATAAGGATGCTCCTCTCTGTCTAAAGCCTTTTGTATCACCATTTCTGCAAATTTCGTACCGTCCGGGTTGGCATGCTCCTTTAAAATGAAATAATCATTCAGGGTTAGAAAATATCTCTGCAGAGCATTCAAGCCGACATCCGGGTCGTCTGCGCTCTCCAGCACAAAGCGGGAGCCAGGGACTGCAGATTCGCTGATTTCAAATTTGAGATCATCGTTCTGAAATGTGGGTGGATGATCATTCACATCAGTTATCTCCACAATAACACGGTGTAGCTCTATCGGGTTCTCTAAAATGATCTCAAAACTAAAGCTGCATGGCGTGATGTCGCCACAGAGTTGTTCTCGGTCTATTCTCTCTTTCACCACCAGGATCCCTTTGTCTATTTTTAGCTCTGCGTACTGCGTGTGTTCTCCGGTCACTATATGGGCTCGGCCCGTCCGGAGCCTTTTTAGATCGAGCCCCAAATCTTGTGCTACATTACCGATCAACGAGCCTTTCTTCATCTCCTCCGGAACAGAGTAACGGATTTGCCCAGCAACGAAAGAACAGGAGAAAACGACAAACAGAAAAACATCCAGTCCACACCCGCGACATCTTAGCGGTGAGAAAAACGTCTGGGAAGCCATGATTAAATTCCTGAAAAACGACTGGTTTCAACAATCCACAAAATCAAAAAATATTATTTTTTCTCCTGGTTACTCCCAAACGATTAGAGCAGTTTCGACTTTAAGCAGCCTGTAAACGTCTCCCTCTCCTCTCCGTCGCTCTTCTTCATACAAAGGGGAATGGTCTGGCATACAGAAAGACATAGGAGGGGCCAGCGTTCACAGATTAAATTGGAAAAAGAAAATCCTGGTTCAACAGCGGCGCTCAGAGTCCAAAAGCAGAACATACCACTCCAGATGTAATATTTAAAGCTCCAGACAAAAGTATATCACAGTCTTACAAAAGCAAAACTCCGCTGCCAGCCATGCGAAAGTAAAGCAATGTGAACCTGGGATGACAGAATCACAACTCACAGCGTGTGGAAAAACGAACAAACAAAAAAACAAACAAATAAGTAAACAAATGACAAATCAACCAACCTAACAAACAAGTAAATACGTAAGAAGAGATTCATTGATAAACAGCAAAGGTAACTGATCAACCACAAACAAAATGAAACTGTGTTATGTTATATGCAGGAGTTATTCAATTGTGATGCGTCCACTATCGCTACAGATGCCACATACATTAAATAGTACTGTACCTGATATTCCTCATGATCTAATAATAATAATAATAATAATAATAATAATAATAAAAAGAAGAAGAAGAAGACATAGTAGTAGTATACCACCAGGAGGCCTTAGTGAATATTACGTGTGTTAAACACCAGAAAGAACGAAGATAGAGACGTTTTATTATTATTATTATTATTATTATTATTATGCAAAAATCCAAGTCTTTCTCAGTTTTGCTAATGACAAATGGTCCATCAAAGTGCTATACGTTTTCCTGTGACAACGGTAAAATATTCAGATAGAGGCAACAGAAATTCAATACAACTTAGTGATTTCACATTAATGTTTCAGCCATACAAGCACCTAATCAACAAAATGTCTATTGAATAAAGGTACATGATGGTGTGTAACCGCAAGTATACAATACTATAATATGAAATAAGTTAAGCGTCACAGTACAATTACAACACTGAAAATATTTCAAACTAACCAAAGTTAACAACAAAAACGCACCAACAGCTCAAAAACTATTTCAGCACCGTGGACAGCACCACGGGGACAACCCAGTCTTCTGAACGAAGGACCAAGAAGGAAAAGTAAAAATCAAAGCACAGATAAACACTGGAAATCTACCATATTTATTTAATTGTGTATATCTATATGATATTTGTTTATAACTCACCAGTGTGCTGTTTCTTTCACTGCCGTCATTGTATTGAGCCTCCTTGGGAAGAGTTTCTGTTCCAGCTGCATCCACGCTCACTAAACTCTGACAGCTCGGTCCTACATATTTAACATCATTTTTTCTGGAATCAGTGGTTCTGTAGACCTCGTAATTATAAACATGTTGGAGGGTTCCGGTGCCAACGGAGTCAGCATAACGCGGTGGATAGTACGGAATAATCGGGAGACTGGACTGGTAATACATGCGAGATTGTCTCCATCTGTAGATTTTAACTGATATTATGACTACTAAACACGTTACGAAGAGAAATGAAACTACAGCCAAGGCCAAGACTAGATAGAAAGTCAGGTTGTCGTTGTAATCCTTGTCGTGCGTAAAGTCAGTGAACTCCGAGAGCACTTCAGGGAAACTGTCCGCCACCGCCACGTTAATATTGACCGTAGCTGTCCAGAGTCCACATCAACAGCCACCACTTTAGTCACAAGATAGCCCACATCTGCTGAGCGAGGCACCATTTCAGCCACCACAGAGCCCCCAGTCTGGACTGGGTACAGAACCTGAGGCGCGTTGTCATTCTGGTCCTGAATGTGGATTATAATTTGTGCGGTGCTGTTAAGAGCAGGCGCGCCCCCGTCCAGAGCATTTACGTGAAACTCCAACGTTTTGATTTTTTCATAATCAAATGAGCGCATCGCGTACATTACTCCAGTCTCTGCATTAACAGATATAAGGGAAGATAATGGCTCTCCGTTTAGCTGCACGTCTTGGAGGAAGTATGATATTCGAGCATTTTGGTTAGAATCAGCATCACTTGCACGAATAGAAATAACAGAATGGCTCGGTAAATTGTTTTCTGGAACAAAGGCCGTGTAAACACTGCGATCAAATATTGGTTTGTTGTCATTAACGTCAGTGACTCTGACTAGTAGTGTTTTATTACTGTGTAAAGACGGAGAGCCTTGGTCAGCTGCTGTTATGGTTATATTGTACTCAGAAACAGTTTCCCGGTCTAAATTTCCGTCTGTAACCAAAGTGTAATAATTGACTAACGATGACTTGATTTTAAACGGCAGAGATCGATTGATACTGCAGTTTATAAGCCCGTTCCTGTCTGAATCCGCATCTTTTACATTTATTATAGCTACTGTGGTTTCTGGTGGAGAATCCTCAGGAATGCTGTTTGAGAAAGAGGTTAAGGCAATTACGGGTACGTTATCGTTTACATCAATCACTTCAATGATGACTTTACAGGAATTTGATAGAGAACCTTTGTCCTTGGCGATCACGTTTAACTGATGTTGCTTAGTCTTTTCAAAATCGACGTCGCCCTCAACTCGAATCTCTCCGTTTTCAGAATTAAGTGAAAATACATTGCTAGCGTGTGATATGTGATCGAGGTAATATGTTAAATGTCCAAATACTCCTTCATCTCTATCAGTTGCAAGGACTTTGGTGACAAGAGTGCCTCTCGGCGCGTTCTCCACCACAGACGCCTTGTAAACGGCCTGTGTGAAGATGGGAGCGTTATCATTTGCATCTTGAACAATGACGCGTATACTCACTGTGCCAGTGCGCTGAGGGCTGCCGCCATCAACCGCGGTTAGAGTAAGCTTCATCTCCGCCTGCTCTTCTCTATCAAGCGGGCTAGTGAGCACCATCTCTGCGTACTTACTGCCGTCAGAATGTGTCTGCTCCTTTAGGCTAAAATGCGTCGAGGGTTTCAGGCTGTAGCTCTGAAGTGTATTTATACCTACATCTGGATCGACCGCACCGCCTAAAATGAACTGCGCCCCAGTTGTCGCCGATTCACTTATATCTAATGTAATTTCTTTCATAGGAAAAGCGGGAGAGTTGTCGTTAATATCCAGTATTTCTACCGTAATGCTGAATAATTCCATCGGGTTTTCCAGAACCATCTCAAAACTGAAGCTACACGGTGACGTCTGTCCACAGAGCTCCTCCCGGTCTATGCGCCTCTTCACCGAGAGTATGCCTTTGTCGGGCTGAAAATGCACAAGATCGCCGCTCTCCTCGGTCACAATACGAGCCCGACCGGATTTGAGCCTCCCCGTGCTTAATCCGAGATCTTTTGATAAATCACCGATCATAGATCCAGCCTGCATTTCCTCCGGAATAGAATATCGTACTTGCGCATGAATCACATTCAGTGAAACAATACACAAAAGCAGACCGAATAGCCATCGAGGCGAGGCTATTTGTGCTCTCCAACACATAGTAATACTGCCTGTCAGTCTACTGTGACTGTAAATAAAAATGAAAAAAAAAAATAGACGTATGAAAATTCTAGCTCCAGCAACGGTCGAAAAAATAAAATCAGAAGAGCAGAGCTGATCGCCTGTCCACCATCACTGTTGTGTTCACTATACTCGACCCAGGGGAGGAGACGTGACGCAGTGAGCTGCATGCAGTGTTTCTCCATAACGCAGATTCGCAGCCCAACAGCGGCGCTCAGAGTACAAAACAGTGACTAACAATCAACGCTTTCAAGTGAAAAGATTGAAGGAAAATACATACACCTAAAATTTTACAATAACGTTAAACATAATGCCTGCACATTATGAAATTATGTAAACACTGTCTGATTTCCTAAAGACAGTTAAGACAGTTTTCCTTTTGTGTCCACGTTTATTCTTATTTGGAGACGATTCTAACAATTTTCAACTTGCAGCAAAAGTTATATTAATGGTAGGTTTAACAGCTTAAAGCAGTGTGACAAATATTAAGTTCTCCTCAGTTTGACTTTATTTATTTGTTTATTTAGACCTTCTTAGTTTGGAACATGACTCCAATTCTTTTGATAAAGACCTTGTAAAGTGAGACAATTATTGGGTAACTAACAATGTATAATAACCATTTCTATTCATGGAATCTGTTACATATTGCTGGATATTCATTCAGAACGCATTTTATTACTTTTACAGGATACCTTAATAATTTCTGTTTCAAGCATACCTGCAATTTTCGTGGATCTGTATATGTGATTGTGATGGTGAAAAAAAATAAACTTAGAAAAAGGGTTAAATACTAACGACTGCATTACAACAGAAAAGCCCGTGTGTAAAAATTTCCGTCATAACATACGAAGAGAAAAAAAAACCCAAAAAAACAATAAAAAAATAGCAGAAAGAGGAATTTCAGCTTCATGAAGACAAGTAGGAAGTTCAAGTGAGAACTGGTTCAGGAATTAACATTGTACCACCAACATAATTAATGAAACGGATATATATTATAGTTATATATTTATAACTCACCAGTGTTCTGCTTGCTTCAGTGCCGTCATTGTATCGAGCCTCCTTGGGAAGAGTTTCTGTTCCAGCTGCATCCACGCTCACTAAACTCTGACTGCTCGGTCCTACATATTTAACATCATTTTTTCTGGAATCAGTGGTTCTGTAGACCTCGTAATTATAAACATGTTGGAGGGTTCCGGTGCCAACGGAGTCAGCATAACGCGGTGGATAGTACGGAATAATCGGGAGACTGGACTGGTAATACATGCGAGATTGTCTCCATCTGTAGATTTTAACTGATATTATGACTACTAAACACGCTACAAAGAGAAATGAAACTACAGCCAAGGCCAAGACTAGATAGAAAGTCAGGTTGTCGTTGTAATCCTTGTCGTGCGTAAAGTCGGTGAACTCCGAGAGCACTTCAGGGAAACTGTCCGCCACCGCCACGTTAATATTGACCGTAGCTGAACGAGAGGGCTGCCCGTTGTCCTCCACTACAACAGTGAGCTTCTGCTTCACAGCATCTTTTTCGGTCACTTGGCGCACAGTTCTTATTTCTCCATTCTGTGCGCCCACTTCAAACAGCGCCCTGTCTGTGGCTTTCTGCAGTTTATATGAGAGCCAGGCATTCTGTCCAGAGTCCACATCAACAGCCACCACTTTAGCCACAAGATAGCCCACATCTGCTGAGCGAGGCACCATTTCAGCCACCACAGAGCCCCCAGTCTGGACTGGGTACAGAACCTGAGGCGCGTTGTCGTTCTGGTCCTGAACGTTTATGACGACAGTCGCGTTACTGCTGAGAGGTGGGGACCCCCCATCCTGAGCTCGCACCTGTATTTTAAACTCTTTCATCTGTTCGTAGTCAAATGACCGCACAGCGAAAAGCACTCCATTATCAGAATTAATAGAAAAATATGTTGACGCAGACGACCCACTAACCTCGCCATCTATGAGATAGTAAGCAATGCGTGCATTTTGTCCTTTATCAGCATCGGTTGCTTGGAGTGTGAGCACTGAAACACCAGGAGAATTATTTTCTATGACATGCGCTCTGTACTCACCTTTACTAAACAATGGCGCGTTATCGTTGATATCTGTGATTTCCAGAAAGACTGTTTTCTTGCTAGACAAAGATGGAGTGCCCTCGTCAGAGGCCGTCAACGTCAAGTTAAAACTGGAAACTCTTTCTCGATCTAATAGCGCATCACTCACCAACGTGTAATATTTCCGCGGCGATGGTTTTATCGTAAATGGGACATTTGGGTCAATATTCAAATTAACCTTACCGTTTTTACCGGAATCTAAATCCTGCACACTTATCAAAGCCACGACAGTACCCGGAGGAGAGTCCTCTTGGATTTTACCTGAGAAAGATGTCATGGTAATAACGGGTGCATTATCATTTACATCCAAAACATCTATAACCAGTTTACTAGTACCTGCGAGACCTCCAGAGTCTTTCGCTTGCAAGTTCATTTCATAATGTTGAGTCGTTTCGTAGTCTAGAATACCGGCGAGTCTGATTTCACCAGTTCGCGCATCCACCTCGAAAACCTGCTGTGCATCCTCTACATTTGTGAATGAATACGACACATTTCCATTATGACCTTCATCTTCGTCCGTTGCACTGATCTTAGTAATCAGCGCGCCTATTGGCGTATTCTCTAACACACTGGCTTTATACAAGGGTTCTGTGAAAGCAGGCACATTGTCGTTTACATCTAGCACAGTAATGTGCACTTTCACGGTTCCAGATCGAGGTGGATCTCCACCATCTACAGCCGTTAACACGAGTACATGTTCTTTGTGTTTCTCCCGGTCTAGCGGCGCCTGCAACACCATTTCTGCGTACCTGCTACCGTCATTTCGACTGTGTTGCTTCAGCGAAAAATTATCCGTAGGTTTTAAACTGTAACTTTGAAGAGAATTCAAACCAACATCTGGATCATAAGCTGCATCGAGATGAAAAATGGTGCCTATCGGTGCAGATTCGCTGGTTTCCAGGTTAATTTCTTTTTTGGAAAAGACTGGTGCATGGTCATTAATATCTTGAATTTCAACAGTAACGGAGAAGAACTCGAGAGGATTTTCCAGCAAAATTTCTAGACCGAAGCTACACGGAGTTTTCTGACCACAAAGCTGCTCCCTGTCTATCCTTTCTTTCACTACCAAATGCCCTTTGTTACGGTTTAGCTCCACGTACTGCTTACTGCCGTCGATAACCAGACGCGCCCTGCCCGACACCAACCTTTTCACATCCAGTCCCAGATCTTTCGCGATATCCCCAACAAACAAGCCAGGTTTCATCTCTTCTGGGATGGAATAGCGGATTTGGCCGCTCACGGTGCCCAGCAGACAAAAAAGAAGAAAGGAGATCCTCGTTTGCCATTTCAAAGACTGGCCTGACATCAAGGCGTTTGCGCCTTCGATACTCCGCATCTTATCCGCTGCGTAATCCTCATATAAAGGGTGCGACACGGTAAACTTTAAATATTTGCAACATTAAAGCGAAGGGATGAGCGTTTCCAGATAATATTCACACACTCGGCATTAAACGCGCTCTGCGTCCGCTCTCCCTGGATCCTTTATGACGCAATGCATTCTAGAAGCAGCATCACAATGCAAAGCATCGTCTCCGTAGGCAACAGCACCGCTCAGAGTTCATGTGCAGTAGGACAGCTGAGCAAGTCAACGCTGGACAACAATACAACGAAATGATCAGAAACGTCGTATGATAGTCATCGTATAAGGTTAAACAAGTTTTGATTCTCTGATTGATGGTGAGGGCTCTAAACTACACTCAAAATATTTTCACACTTGTGCATGTAAATATAGACATATCTCAACAATTTCTCCTTTTTCCCTAGCTCTTTCTTGCTCTCTCTCTCTTTCTCTCTTGATCTCCCTGTTTTGCACACACACACACACACACACACACACACACACACACACACACACAGGATGTATAAATACATGTTTGCTCATGTACAACCCATATAACAAATAAACCATGAAATGTTCATTATTTAGTATTGTGATAGTGTTTTATGGTCACTTACAGCTTTCACCTTTCTCAAATGCTCACATCTATTTTGTGGCAAAAGATAGGGATAAGTCTTATCATTGTCTGTCTACTGTGTTTTAATTAGATAAAAAGAAAGAAAATAAAAAATAAGATTGATTTTGAAATTAATATTATTAATATTATTATTATTATTATTATTACTATTATTATTTTTATTGTTGTTATTATTAGTATTACTACTACTACTATTACTACTACCACATTTACAGCTCTGGACTCTCTGGAACCCAAAAAAAAGCCAATCAACAAAACATGAGGGTTAATTAAACTGTGCATGTTTATATCACTGTCATAATCATTCACAGTTATGTGGACAGGTGGATTGTGCATGTAATATTATCGATTTCAAAAATATGTACATGTGGAACACTAGTGACAGTCACAAGAATGTGAACCAGCTGAAACTGAGAATTCACAAGAACGCAGACTGGCTAGACTCAAATCAGCAGCTTCATGACTCAAAAAAAAAAAAAAACTAACAAGCAGAAAAATAAATAAAACACCAGGCACCATGGCCTTAACAGGGCTTCTTGCTGAGGTGAGAGGTAACCGCAGTAAATACACTTTTTTTTACTTGCAATGACATTTCATTTGCGTCACTCAGAAGTGTGTCTGAAACAAATAATTTTAAAAGCACTGGTAACTGTGCTATTTACAGATATACAATCTAAGGTTCATCATTAAATAGTGCTGCAAACAAAGTGCACACAGTGCTTTGAATATGTATTATTCAGCAGGTGCGTGTGTGAGATGTAATGCATTTTAATGCCACCGAAAGTGGGCTAAGAACCCCAGACATAAAGGCATACTGACATACTGCGGCAGCATGGAGAGATACCGCAGGGACCAACACACACACCACTGACAAACCCTAGTTATTTTCTTGCTCCACTAAACCACCACAAGATGGAGTAACTGTACAGTGTAATCACAGTTCAACTGCTGCACAGTACATCCTTCACACACATATACAGTAACAGTACATCAATGTTGAGATAAAATGCACAGAAGCTTTCAGATATTGTTGAGTGCCTGGGGGTGCTCAGAAAAGAATGCCAGGTGCAAATTATACTTGCAATAGTCAAACGTTGCACTGTTTGGTATGTTCTTTGGCACTGGAAGACAACCATGCCAACTGTGTTATTGCCTGACTTGGATTGGATGCAAGTATAACTGTAGGATACATCTGGACACAACTCTCTCCTGCTAACTAGAAGTGCAAAATTTTTAATTGACTTCAAAAACCGACTGAGCTACCAATTTTAACTTTTGAAATGAAATGAATGGACCATGATTTTTCTGACTTTATGCTTTTTTCTCTAAGACAAATACAAGTCCATTGCTTTGCAGACTGTAGCACATTCATATTGTTTTCACAAATTGATTAACCACATCAGAGCCATACAGGCCAAAAAGTATTTCATTTTTGCCTCAATGTCAAGATGTTACAATCTCACTCTGTGGGACTGTGCTTCTCAGCCAGCTTCTGAGCAGTGTAACACATTGTCCTCTAGGTGTTTGTCTACTGCTTCATCTGCCAGGCATTTTCAGACAATCACTTAACATAGTGTTTTGATGTTCATACTTTGCTACTACTTAAAAATATACAAGTTGTTTTTTTTTTTATCTGTTACAGTAGGGGGAAAAGTTATGGTGTTAAATGAAGTTTCTCCATTTTGGCTGGTCTGACACTATAATGCTTTTAAATTAGCACTATCAACTACCTATTAATGATACTCAGCTTTCTAGGCTTACTTAGTGACTTACTTCGTGACTAATGTTTCAGCCTTGAAGCTCTCAAATATACCAAACATCAAGAAGAGTGTTACCACATTATGGGAAATCCATTTAGATTGTGGTTTTCATATATTTCTTATTTATTTATTTAATTTAAATTATTAACTGAAAATGTAATAAAAATAAATAGTTATTTTGAGAGTGGTTTAGCATATTCATTGCTTTACAGAACATGTCTGTGGATGAAATTCATTCAAAATTAATCATACCTTGCATCTGTAATGTTGTCTCTATCTTTCTACACCAGGTTTGTTTTCAGTGATGTCCAAATGAGTACTTACCTTTGTAAATTTCTGGTTATAAAATTAATGATCATGCAGCCATTGTTAAAATATGTGAAAAAAATATTACTTATGTTGTAGTAAAAGATGTGTCAGATGTTGCTGTGTAGTACGTTCAACAAAGTGTGCTTTACCTTTGCATTTTAAATCAAAAGAAAATGTGCTAGTAAATCAAGGGTGGGAAAAATGACAAGTACATATCACAATAAGACAACATCACAATAAAATATTCTCACAATGCACAAAGTATCACTTTTTCTTTTTTTTTTGAGGCTTACTAAAAACCAGAATTAACAGAATACACCAGAAATATATCAATGCCTGATTTAACTACTTAAAATCCCAGGCTTATTACATACTAAGCCTTATTATTCAGTAACTACAGGGACTTCAATGCTAATTGGCATACTCCTATAACATAAGATATTCTTATAGGAGTGTGTGATGCAACTTTGCCTTTGCCTTGACCATTTAAGGGGTTAAAAGAGATGAGTGTACGGATTTGTACAAAATAAACTGAGTGTATGGATTAGTAAAAAAAAAAAACTATTTAAGAAGAAAGGAATGAAAGCCAAAAATGGGCTGACTTCCAGTCATCTAGTTGTTACTAAGCAGTTTGTGCATGGATACTGTGCTCTAATTTGTCTACATCTGTCACTGTTATGACACATGCAGTTGTTCAGTGTTCCAGACATACTGACAACACCCATGATATACTCAGTAGTGTATACTGTGACATACTTTACATAAATAACCCATGACTACCCCTACATGAAGTTTGAACACATGTAATGTATGTCTAAAACAGTGGTCTCCAACCCTGGTCCTGGAGAGCTGCCTTCCTGCAGAGCTTAGTTCTTACCACAATTTGCCACACCTTCTCCAGCTAATCAACCTCTTCCCAAGTCCCTGATTGGCTGGATCAGATGTATTAGAGTTAAATAAGGGGCGGGACAGCTTATTGGATACAGGTCGGAACTAAACTCTGCAGGAAGGTAGCTCTTCAGGACATGAGTTGGAGACCACTGCTCTAGAAATGTGTTAATCAGCATAAAATTTCAAGATGTAAATTTATATGTCCACTTCAATATAATGTTTTTGGTTTGTTTTGTTTTTTAAAGAATGAAATTGTCTCTTACCTGTTTGAGGACAGGTCCATTTTCATTCATCAGGCAATAAACAGCACAAAGAGAGAAAAAAAGATGGAGAATAATTAGAAAATATAAAACAATCACATTCCAATTACTGAAGGAATTCTTCAGCAAAAGTGCAGCAGCCTCTGAAATAAAATGGTAAAAACAAGGAAATGAAACAGGCTTAGATTATAACAGTTGCATTCCATGGTAATGCCATGATTACAATGTCATCATGATAATATTTCAGTGCTGTATAACCCATTGCTGTATTGTTGAGAAGATTTTAATCACATCGATATTTCAATGAGTATTATGAGAGCTGCTGCCTATGGTGAAACAAACAGTTCTGCTTCTGTCAGGATATTTAATCGTCAGACTGCATCATGATGTATTCTGTACTGTACACTCTATTCACATGCTTAACAATAAGAAAACAATTTATAAAATCAAACACAGTAGAATTATGATTCTTTTTGTCTAATACATCTTAGAATTGTGCACACTCTCTTCCTCCTCCTTCTCATGCAGTTGCTGTGTGGAGTGAAAACTAGGTCTGCCTACAGCAATCGTTTATGCATACATGGGTTAACATGAGAATTAGTACACAGTGACTGGCTGGCAGGGCATTACATCTCTGTGCTGCACTGTAACACATCACAGATCAGCTAGAAGGAGAGACTTTCATAAACAACATAAGCCTGAAATCATAAACATCTCATCCCATGAGCTTTTGAGCATGTTATTCCCAATGACTGAGATGCTGAATACGATTTTCATGAAATAAAATTTCTTTGGACTAAGGTACATGTGGTGGGGTATTCAGGGCATGATGCACATTTCACAAAAACAATATTGACCTCTTAAAATTAAACTTTACTGAAAAAAAGCCTAAAAAGATATAAAAAGCAATTCAAACGAAGCAATTCAAATAAAACGTGCAATGTGCTCTTCGGTATATGAAGCTTCGAACAAGCTGGGATGCCCCTGCGTCTGGCAGACTACGGAGATCACTTCCAGCATCACATGTAATGCAATCAATTACACATACCTCAAGGTATGTAGTGTTTTTTTTTGGTCCAGATTGTTTCATCTTAACAGGAGTTACAACAGAATATTTGGGGCCTCTTTCAAGTGAATCTCCCTGTATAATAAGCCTGTTCAAAAACTATTAAGCTTGTCTCATTTTACATATATATTTATATTCCAGGATGCACCAGCAAACGCAAGGAACCAACACATTTGCCCAAGAAGAAATCCATTTGTGAGTCTCTCTTACCAGCAGCATTACTGAAGACCAAGTTTGTGGCCTGGTTAAGTCCATATCAGTACTTATCACGTACAGTAGGGCAACATATTCCAAATACCACAAGCTAAAAAAAATCCACCAGAGACATCTGAAAGATGACATTTGCCTCTTATCTAGCAAGGAAAAATACAAAGCAAGTCTTCCACATTTAGCCTTATTATGAGTGAGGAACCAGTGATTAACCAAACTCTATTGTGAGATCTGGAGTTCTTGACTGAAGAAAACTGAGTAGGATGATAGACAATAGTACCACTGGGAAGTCTTCAGTATGCCTACAAAGAGTATTAAACATGCAATACACTTTACTTGTACCAAGCTTTTCATTTTCATGCTTGCACAGTCCGTAAAAGCCTCTAACCGGCTTATAGTGGTGAGAGTCTAGCAGATTATTGGAAATTACTTTTGGCAAGGACAAGCTCAAAACCCTCCATTTTGATTCTCTACATGAGAGCAGCTCTTGGCGATGTCATTCAAATGGCTAAAGAAAAGCCTCTAAACTGAAGTCAAATACTAGACATGTCAACCATGATACATGCATTTATTCAATAACAAATGAATTAGGAGTATCGACACTTTGCCTATTTCAGCCTAATTCATTCAAAGGAAATAATACAAAAAAGAAAAAAGTACATATCTTAATGCTTCATGCTTCAACTCATACTTTCTTGCTGCAGACAGGAGAACACACACACAGCCACTAAATTATAAATGGCTCTATGATTAAAAATAGAACATGTTTATGTCAACACTCAACATTTTGTATTTTTTCTTACTTTACATTTACATCATCTGTGGTGCCAAACAGAGTCATGAAAACTGGAGATTAGCCTGAGTAAAAACTCAATGTAATTTCTACTTGTATTTCTGTTTGTAATTGTCTATATAGTATTTAGGAATGCACTTATAATTAAATATATCATAGCATCACATTCACACATGATAGGTAGGCAAAGTTGGTGAGAAAACAGGTGTGTCAACTTTCAAATGATGATATGAATTATGGTTACTATTTGACACAAGTGTATCTAATAAACTCCCAGCTCAGTGTAAAATGTTAGAATGGAAATATTCAATATTGAAAGCAGGACTGAATAAAATTTATAGTTTTCAGAAATCGGCATTTAAGCAAAACATTCACTGAAGAAAATACAGAAACATGGAACCAAAATAGACAGAAAGGGTGAGTTTATTAGTTGTTTTTTACTTTCTAATACAACTAACAAATTGCACACATGTTGACTAGGAGAGTGCTTTACAGAGAAAAATAAACATAATACTGAGGTCCATGTAAAGTTAGAGAAGTGCTGAGAGATAATTTGGTGTGAAAGTGAGTACACATCTGTGTTATTTCACAAATGGGACTGCATGTGATTAACAGATTGATCATTTTTCTCTAATCTCTTGTCCTGGAACAGAGACAGAGAGAGAGACAGAGAGAGAGAGAGTCAGAGAGACAGAAAGAGAGAGAGAGAGAGAGAGAGAGAGAGAGAGAGAGGTACAGTTAAATAAAGTATATATAAATAAATAAAGTATTAAATAAGTACAGTAAGACAATTAAGGAGAATATACAGAAAATGCCCAGCTTCATATATTAATTTGGCCTAAAATGTACACACTATTTTAGGCAAGTTACATGATTCATAAATAATGAAACACACAAATACTGAGAACATGTCCATATTTCACAGTGTTAACTTCAAGCACCCCTTGCTCAACTTCAATTAAAATACAATGCATACACAATAGAGTTCAAATTAATATTGAATACAAGGTCAGGTCACATGCATCACTACAGTAAATTATTGAACTCCAAGAATCGACAGTTACAACAGAAGTTGTTATACATGCTAACACAGATATTAGTTTTAAGAATAAGCATTTGGATTAAACAAACTGATTAATTATAGTAATGATTTAATTTGATGTTTTGCTATTGCTGTTTATGAATTCACTCTAACATTTGGACCGAATTCACCGTGTCACTGAAAGATGTGCACGTGATCCCACTTTTACATTGGCTGTGTTATCTCCACTCACACGCACCATTGTCCCACTCTTCCTCAGTGTATCATAATCAAAAGCCTCTGAGCCAAATCTAAAATCACCTCTCCATGACCCTGTTGTTAAAAATGAACTGTACCTATCGTCATTCTGCAGTGTACCACATCGACTAACATCAAAATAGCCTGGTGGTCCATAGGTTGGGGGGAAAACAGGAAGCTTTGCAGAGGTGCGGTGCATGTAGTTGTGTCTACAGAACCTCATGTAAACTACTATAGTGATAAGAATGAGAAAAAGAATGGACACCCCAGCCAGAGCAATTATTAAATACAGCGTAAAATCATCTCTCACCTGTGACTCATCCAAGCCAAAGGCAGAAAGCTCGTCTATAACAGGCAGGCCTTCACCAATGGCAATAATCACAGTGGCTGTGGCAGACAGAGACTCAGCTCCATTATCTCTTACAGCAACCACCAAAATTTGTTTCGGTTCATCATCATCTACAAATGGTCTAAGCGTCCTTATTTCTCCACAGTGTAACCCAATGGAAAATAAATTAGGCTGTGTAGCTTTTACTATATGATAAGACAACCAGGCATTGTGCCCCGCATCTGCATCGACAGCCACCACTTTAGTGACTAGATAACCTTTAGGAGCAGCTAAGGGCACTATGTCATCTGCAATGTATCCACTAGACTGAACTGGGTAAAGGACAACAGGTGCATTGTCATTTTCATCTCTGATGAAAACCCTAACAGTGCAAGTGCTGGTGAAGGGAGGGCTTCCCCCATCTCGCGCCATGACACGTATCCAGAAATGGCTTGAAATCTCATAATCAAAAGGGCGCAAAGTGAAGATCTCTCCTGTCTCTGCATTCATCGAAAAGTAAGAGACTGCATCCTCTGCTAATGAGTATTGAACTTGAGCATTTTGCCCAGCATCTGCATCATCAGCGCTCACCCTTATCACCGGCAAGCCTTGCGCTCTGTTTTCAGGCACCTCAATGGTGTATTCACTTTGAGTAAAGACAGGGGGGTTGTCATTAATGTCTGCCACCATTATGGATACAATGTTACTGCTGAACATAGGAGGGGTACCTGCATCCACTGCGGTCACTGTTATGTTATAATACGAACGCTTTTCCCGATCTAAAACACCATCAGTCACAAGCATGAAATAATTCTTCACTTCTGATATAAGTTTGAATGGCGCATCATCAGTAATGTCACATGTTACCCGTCCACTAGCACCAGTGTCCAGATCGTAAACATTGAGCAAAGCAACCATGGTCCCAGGTGAGGCGTCCTCAGAGACAGAGGGGGATGAGGACTTGATCTCTATCACAGGTGCATTGTCATTGAGGTCAGTAACCTCTATAATAAGTTTACAGTGTGATGACTGTCCTCCTCCATCTTTGGCTTGAATGTCCAGTTCATGTGTGCTTGCTTCTTCGTAATCAATTGCCCCTGCTACTCTCACTTCACCAGTCATAGGATCAATATCAACAACCCCTCTGGTCTTATCAGGCACGTGACTAAAGGAGTAGCTGATTGTGCCATAAAGTCCGCTATCCAAATCTGTTGCGTTTAACTTTGCCAAAACCGTACCTCGGTCAGAGTTCTCATGTATGTAAGCTTTGTAAACTCTTTGGCTGAAAACTGGGACATTGTCATTTGCATCCAGCACATGGATATGAATGGAAGCTGTACCAGAAAGAGGTGGATGACCCCCATCCACTCCACTGATGGTCAAGAAGTGATCCACCTGGCTTTCACGGTCAAGCGGCTTTTTAAGAACCAGTTCAGGGTATGCATTTGCATTCACATGAGTGTTCATTTCCAAAGCAAAATAATCATTTTCGCTTAGTCGGTAGTGCTGAACTGAATTAGCACCCATATCAGGATCTCGTGCACTCTCCAGTGGAAAGCGTCTCCCCAGAACTGTTGACTCCAAAAGCTCCAGCTCGATTTGTCCATTATCAAAGAAGGGACCGTTGTCGTTGATGTCCTGTATATCCAGTACAAGGCTGTACACTTTGAGCGGGTTCTCGAGTAGCAGTTGAAACTGCACAATGCATACCTCAGTCTGTGCGCATAGCTCCTCTCGATCCATCCGCTCACTGACCAAGAGAGAGCCCGTCTCTGTACTTAGCTCACAGAACTGCCGGCTTCCCTCCGCCACAACCTTTGCGTTGCGTTGAATCAGCTCATCCACATTAAGCCCCAAATCGTGTGCCAGGTTTCCAATCACCGAGCCCCGTTGCATTTCTTCTGGAACTGAGTATCGCACTTCACCGAGTGTGCCACCAAACAGAATGGCACAGACAGAAATATGCAGCACAACAAGCGTCTTTACACATCGCGCTCTTAAACAAAAAACGTGTTTCGGTGGAAAAAACATTTTATACAAAAAATACAAAGTTACATTTGAATCCTAATATGCAAAAATAACAGAGATGTGTGAACATTCTGTGTTGATCTTGCTGTTCAGAGTCTGTTCAAAAATGGAGCAGATCCTACGCTGTGAAGCCTGATACTGTCGGCTTAGATTTTTCTCTTCATCTCTCTCTCTCTCTCTGCTCTGTGCTCCCAGCACTAACACACACATCCCCCGCCCTTCACTCTCTCTGTGCAACACTAATGAAAGCAGGGAATGAGGGCACTCTGCTGATCTGGTTCTGCACTAGAAGAGCGTCACCCAGAGACCAAATAATATACATGCAGTTTCCACATCAACTGCAGAATGCCTGGCTTGTCATATTTGCAGGCAAATATTTAATAAACATGTAATCACAGGGTATGAAGGTGACAGAAATTGCAAAAGACACATGCACACATTCCTAAAAGGGAAATTCAAAGGAATATTAAGACAGATGAAAGAAGAAAGAAAAAATAATCTTAACATATGCTGCCCTAAGCGCTGATACATTTTAAGGCCTTGTGCAGCTGCAATTCAGCAGGTTTTAGGTCTTTAAAAAATGTTTTACAAAATTAGACTAACTAGTGGTGGTTTTCTGTTTAAAGATGCCTTTTGTTGTCAAAATGATTCAATCAATTTGTCACTATATGTTAGCTGCACAGAAAAAAAATGCATTATGTTTTTTTGGGGGGGGGGTTTGATTCTTGTAGGATCTGAAAAATGCATAAGTGATATCCTGCTGTGTTCTTAATCAACTGAGATTCTGTATTCCACTAATTGCATTTATTTATTTACTTGTTTTCATACTTCTTTGTTTTTACAAAGCTGTTGATATGTTTACAAATAGGTTTGACCATACAGCTAATGAGTATGCTAATCCATTTTATTAGGTAGTCTTACCTTTTACCTACACTCTCTGTCCATTTCATCTGCTCTACTTAAAAAAAGGTGCCCGTTGTAGTTTTACAATTACATACTTTAGTCTAACTATTGCTCTGCATGAATTGATTTATTGCTTTTCCCTATCCATAATTGGTCAGGACGCCTACCTAACCACCACTGAGCAGATATTATTTGGGTGGTGGGTCATTCTCGGTACTGTTGTGACACTGTCATTGTAGTAGCATGATAGTACATTTGCTGAACAGAGTGGATCAGACACAGAGGTGTTACTGAAGTTGTTAAACAGCTTTGTCACCCCTGGGCTAGAAATAGTCTATCAACCAAAAATATTCAACCAACAGCATTCTCTGGTAAGGAACTGATCACTGATGAAGGACTAAAGGATGACTAAAAATTCTGTAGTAACAGATGAGTTTCTTTAATTTACATCTTCAAGGTGGGACAACAGAATAAAAGAAACAGTAAGTATACACAATGTTTAAAACTCCAGTAACACTGCTGTCTGATCCAGTAGTCCACTTGTAGTAGTATGTCATGAACATGAAACAGCAAACTCAAGAGTAAACAGACTATAATTCCTTTTCATTTTCTAAATAATACTGGGGAAAAGGGGAGGGGCATTTGAAATGTTTCTTTTTAAATAATAGCCACAACTGTCAGACTGATATATCACATGTATAAGGATCTGTGAGCATAACATGTTGTAATGCATTTGTAAGGTATTATAAACATGGTTATAAATGTTTATGAAAAAAAGAATGCTATTGCTATCATTATGCTAATTGTTACCATAAAGCATTATAAGTAGTGTTCATAAAATATGACAATGTCATTGTTAAAAAAAAATCTTTCTAGTCATAAACATGACGTTTAATAACTTGAAGGAATTGTACTTATCTCTAACAGAATAATAGCTTACAGTCATTTGTGTATTATAACAGGAATTCACAAGCTTTAAGTGACAGGATGTACATACTTCATAATTTATACACTCATATTACAACTTCAAACAAGTTTGTAAGTTGTATTGATTAGTTAAGTGAGAAATTTTAGACTAAAGGAATGTTTGTAAGTTTCTTATCCAAAATGCACTGTGACATATGGAGTTTCTTTGGCACTGACAACAGAGTGTATTGTGAACACTACTGCATACAAAATGTTGACCATTTGTAATGCATATTTAATACAGCTATAATGTATAATGAATTTTTCTAAATATTCATAATATGTCAAACATTTACAGTATTTATAATGCCTTATGAATGCTTTACAGCACGTTATGTGTTTGTGTTTCGTACAGAGATGATGTTTATAGAAAGTGTTAATATCTTCCTATTTTAACACTTAATAAACATGACAAAGAGTTTTAAAAAAATGTTTTTCAGTGCCAGATCTATCTATTCAGCAAAAGACCTTCAAGGAGGCTTTGACAGGTGTTCAGGATAGTCCATTCACATAGATACAAAAGTTTTAAAAAAAGAATTAAATTAGCTCAAAATTCAACAGTAAAGAGAACACTTACTTATGGATACTCAATGTTTTTGTATACTCAAATAAAAAAAAAAACCAAAAAAAAAAAACTTAAAACTTAAAGTGGATTATAACATGTGAGCTAACTGAAGGCTTTTCACTTGCAGCATTTTGTATGCCGGTACAATGAAGTTTGCATGAGTACTATAATATAAAGATGAACTTTCCACAAACTCTACAACATGGAATGAGAAAATATTCTCACCTGATCAGTATCAGCAGTCATGTCAGCAACATGCTCAAGTTCAGTAAGAAGAGATGGTGCCTTTTTCAGAATTTGCTGTGCAGGCAGAGTTCCCTCATTGTAAGAAGTGACGAACTTAAAATCACTGGTTCGTGACCCTGTGGTCAGATATGCATCGTAGTTGTAGGTGCTGCGGAGAGTTCCCGTTCCCTCCACCTCTGCGTAATTTGGAGGGAGATACGCGCTGGGAATGGCCACAGCTCCATCAAACAGCAGTCTGGGCTTCCTCCTGTGACAAAACCTCACGGCCAGGATGATGATGATGAAGGTGAGGAAGAAGGTGGAGATGGACACCAGCGCGATGATCAAATAAAAAGTCAGTTTGGAGCTGCTCTCATCATAAGACATGTCTTTCAGTTCAGGAATCTCAGCCAAATTATCAGAAATAAGTAAATAGACGGCGCAGGTTGCAGAAAGTGAAGGCTGTCCGTTATCTTTGACTGAAACAATGAGATTCTGCTTTGTACTGTCGGATTCAGAAATGTCCCGCTGCGTCCTGATTTCTCCACTGTGCTCACCAATAGTGAAAAGTCCTGGGTCAGTCGCTTTCACTATGTGATAAGAAAGCCATGCGTTTTGACCAGAGTCCGCATCCACTGCGATCACCTTGGACACCAGAGAGCCTGACTGGGCAGCTTTGGGCACCATCTCAGTCATGAAGGAGTTTCCTTCCGGAGAGGGGTATAAGATTTGTGGAGAGTTATCATTCTCATCACTTATGAAGACGCTCACAGTCACGTTACTGCTGAGTGGAGGAGAACCGTTGTCTCTGGCTAAGACGAGCACTTTGAAACTTTTCAACTGCTCATAATCAAAAGACCTCACTGCATGGATAACACCTGTGTCTCCATTAATGGATACAAATGAGGACACTGGAGCACCACTGACATCAGAAGGTAGAAGAGAATAAACTACAGTACCATTCTGTCTCCAGTCCGGGTCTGTTGCTGCTACTGTACAAACAGAGGAGCCTGGTTTGTTATTCTCTTTCACATGAGCGCTGTAAATCTGCTCCTCAAATACAGGTGGATTGTCATTCACATCAGCTACTGATAAATGAATAGTTTTAGAGGAGGACAAAGGTGGAGAGCCTTCATCAGTAGCAGTGATTGTAATGTTATAATCAGATACGAGCTCTCGGTCTAATTCACCTGATGTCACCAGAGAATAATAATTTTTAATTGATGGAACAAGTTTAAATGGAACATTTTGCTGAAGTGAACAGTGAACCTGTTGGTTTTTCTCAGAGTCTCTGTCCTGAACATTAACAATGCCCACCTCTGTACCAGGTAAAACATTCTCAGGGACTGGACTATTCAAAGATTTTATGACTATGATTGGTTCATTATCATTTACATCTGTAATTTCAATTACTGCTGTAGAATATGAGGTTAATCCAGATGCATCTTTAGCCAGTACTCGCAGTTCAAATGCAGATTCTTCCTCATAATCTACTGGACCAATTACTGTAATTGCTCCTGTTTTAGGGTCCAGTGAAAATAATCTTTTATCTTCGTGTGAAATGTGACCAAACGCATACATTACCTCCCCATTCTGTCCCTCATCAGCATCTGTAGCACTCACAGTAACCACTACAGTGTCTAGAGGAGAATTTTCAGGCAGACTGACCTTATAAACAGACTGACTAAACACTGGAGCATTATCATTAGCATCCAGTACAGTGACGTGTATGGCTACAGTACCTGATCTCGGTGGAGTCCCACCATCAACTGCAGTCAGAATTAATGATACTTCTGTCTGCTGTTCACGGTCCAGTTCTTTGTCTAATATCAGCTCACTGTATTTTCCTCCGATGTCATTTGTGTTTACAGATAAAACAAAGTGGGCATTACTTTGTAATATGTATGTCTGAACTGCATTCTCCCCAATATCCGCATCGTGAGCCTCCTCCAATAAAAAGCGAGCCCCTTTATCTGTCGACTCTCTTATTTCTATTTTGATAACATCTTTCTCAAATTTGGGCGAGTTATCATTAACATCTTGAACATGTAAATTGATACGATGCAATTCCAAAGGATTTTCCAGCATAAATTCCTGTTTTATAAGGCATGTTGCCTTTTTTCCACAAAGCCCCTCTCTGTCAATCCGTTCTGTTACAGTCAGTTCTCCAGTATCCAAATTAACGTTGCAGTAGCGTTTTCGGTTACCTTCAGTATCAATACGAGCCTTACGAGTCGACAGCCTTTTCACATCGAGCCCCAGATCTTTGGCTATATTTCCAATCACAGATCCGCGTTTCATCTCCTCCGGAAAGGAGTAGCTGATGTCTCCGTAAGCAAAATGCGCCATGAGTCCAAAGGAACAAAAGCCCCACACCAGCCGAGTAGCGTCTGAAATCCATAGCGAAATGTGCGTTCATTCAATCAAATTAGCCATATAACCACGTGTAAACCGAAATCTGAATGTGAAGAAACGCTAGTGAAGCAGAAACACGATAGCTCAGACAGCCATACGCGGTTAATAAACTCACATAAAAAGCCGAATTTACGTCTCGAATCGTCACATCATGATTGGGGTGGAGAGAAATACGAATCTTCAAATATCTTTGCTGGTGAACAGCGACGCTTTGAGTCACTATTAAAAACTACATTTCAAAAATACCTCTATGGTGCAGTTTCTGCTCAAAGTTAAACGGCTGGTACATTATAACAGTGAGAAAACAAAATGTATTGCATTTAAAGATACATGCCTGGGTCAAAACATTGACAGAAACATAGATAAACTAGGTGAAGGTCAACAGCTTTATTATACCCTAATACTCTCTTAAAACAGGATATAAATGAACATTTAGTCTAAAGTTGAATCTTTCTGCTTCCATGGCTGTACCTTGAAAAGTCAAGGGTTTATAAAATGAATGGGTTTTAATGGGAGGGCCGATGGATGCAAGAAAGGAGAGTAGGGACAAACAGATGAGTGCTATCAGTATGAACTGCACTTATGTTCTTAGGGTCAACAAGTGGATCTCTCTTGCTAGTCTGATGACTGTAGCTAAAAAAGTTAAGTAGTTACACAAAAAGAACTGAAGAATTTTAATTGAAGATGGTGGGATGGACGAAAGGGTAGCAGACTCTGACTGATAGATGAATGCAGAATAAAAAAATTGAACTACAAAATGATTATTTTTTTCCAGGTTAATGGAAGCCATGAAAAAAAATGAATGAAAAAAGGCAGGAGGGTGAGGTAGACAAGCAGCACAAAAAGATATGTCTGCTGAATTTCTTCAGAATATGTACAAATCCATGTGTAATACAGAACAGAGTAAAGATTTAGATATATGGTATACAGATACATATTGTTCTTGTATTTTACAGCTAGTCAAAACACAAATATACATAGCTGGAAAGGAAGTCTGAAAACTTTGGTTGCTGTAGAGTTATTGTAGAGAACAGAAAATTAAACGTTCAGTGTACGGTTAATTTAATGGCTGAACCTTGAAAATTCAAGCGTTTACAAAATAAATGGGCTCTAATGGAAGGATAACAGAAAGGACAGCAGGAACAAATAGACTAATGCTATGACTATGAAAAGCATTCATGTGCTTTGGGTAACAGTTGGATCCTTTATGCCAATCTGATTGCTGTAGCTTGAAAATTCAAAGAGTTACAAAATAAATAAAATGAACAGAATAGAGGAATGAAAGAACAGCAGGCATTGATTTGGGTAAATATTTTATGCTTCTATTAAAGTTTGAGGACTATTGAAAATTCAAAGAGTTACAAAATGATGGTTTTTAATGGAGGTGGATGAATGAAAGAAAAGCAGACACTGATAAGAGCTACATGGAACTCAGGAATCACATACAGATTTATTTTTTTAAAAGGAAGATGAAGGAATGAATGAAAGTATAGGAGGGTGAGGTACAGGCATGCTATCAATATTGGCAACAGTTGGCATGTTTTAATTCCTTTAAAGGAGAGCAAAAGAGAAGTATACTAAAAAGAATCAAAAGAAGATAAATTAATAAAGGAAAAAAGTAAGTTAGCTTTTAAAGTCAGTTTAATAATTGAGTATAGCTCTGCCAGTCTCAACAGGTTATTTACCCTGAATGACATTTATTTACACTGTTTACAAAACAGTATTTATTGTTTTTTTTATGATTTGTTTTCCTCATCAACTCCAAAGATACTGCAAATGAATATAGCCAATGGCAGCAAAAACATTATATAAAAAAGGGTAAAATATGTGGCATGGGAATATCTTAGAGAATCTGGTCCATAAATATAACTTCTTCCATGCAGAAGGCCTAACAGTGCATCCCCTTTCTAATGAGCCTCAAATTAGTCATCCTGTCATTCAAAACTATACTGTGTGTGGAAATCACTGCCACCAGCAGTATAAGGACTAGAAAGTGCACAGTATTAGAACAGAGCACCATTCAGATTGGAGTAAAACTGGCCTGTTCATCATTGGTTCACAATTTCCACTCATCTTCAACATTTCTAAAAAAAAATTGAGAGAGAAGGCATCTAGTGTCATTAATGCAGACCATACACACCCCAACTGAGACTTTTTCACCTTGCTACCATCTGGCAAATATACATTATTAAAAGTAGCTGCACAGAGAAAGTTCACATACTATTTTGCATCAATGGATTCTCCAGCATAAATTCATGTTTTATAATGTAGCTTTCTTTCCAGAAAGCTCCTCTCTGTCAGTCCTTTCTGCTGTAGTCAGTTCTCCAATATTCAGTTCTCCAATATTCAGATTAAAGATCCACTTCCTAATGAGACCCATACAAGCTTGATCTTGACCTCCAGAACATTCCTACAGAACCACTATGGATAGCATTGCCATCAGCAGTATCACAATTAGGTCCAGGAAGTGCACAATATGAGAACACAGCACCATTCAGACTTTGGTGGAACTGGCCTGGTATATCACTGGTTTACAACAATTTTGAAAGAACAGCACTTGGTATCACAACAGAACCCAGTACACCCCAACTGAGACTTCTTCACACTGTTACCATCTGGCAAATGGTACCAGAACATCTAATCCTGTTCTAACTGCCTAAAAGAGTTCTATCTCCAAGTTCTCAGGCTTTCAGACCTGTCTCTCCTCTAACTTCATACTTTTCTTTCACATCCTCCTACCTCTTGTATTCAAAGACATCTTGAACTTAATTTATTTTACTCAAACTTTAGTAGTCATTTGCAGTTCATCAACACCATGTATGCTGTCAGTTTTGCATTTCTGCATTTAATGTGTACTGTTTAATATTTAATCTCTCTAACTTTATATGCACACAATAGCCAGAGTACATTCTTAGTTAGTCAAAGAAAATGAATTAAAACTAGATGTTTACAAGAACATAAAAGCTACATAAAAGACTATTTATAGCTCCATTTACATGCACAGCAGTATAGCCTGACTTTATATAAAATAAAAACATTTTTTTTCTTTAAAAAATAGGCTATAATCATGTCTATTTCTGACAACATGTTTAAGACGACAATAATTCATTCAAATTTTCTAAGAACAACATCGCTAGATATGGATTATTGCAACATGACTTAATTTGACCTTAAGTCCAACAATGATTTCTGATATGTTCTTATGCGGCAAAACTTGCACACAGAGAAAGTTCGTATACTATTTTGCATCATAGATTGAATAATGAAAAAGAATGAAATTCAATAATGAAAACGTCATTGAGCTCCACGTTTTTAGAAGAAAATCACACTGCTCTGGTCACTAAGTGGTTAATCACAACATCATGATCTTTAAATACTCTTTTGATTGACAAAATATGTTACAGTGATAAAGTCTAAGGGTCCTGAGGCTGTTTATGTTTGAATTAAAATGATAAAGTTGAAAACATGCAAAGGTTTCTAGTGTAAACTTTAAATGGTGGCTTTTTTGCCCCATTAGATTTTACAGAGAGGTCACAGAGAGGTCACAGAGAATAAGGAATCATTTGAATCTGCTGTGTCAATGGGCTTTGTCATACAAACCTTACTACTGAAAATAAAGGAAGGTTTGAGTAATACATACACATTAGGATAAACTGTCTAAAATAATACCTCCAACCGACACTGCGAGAACCTAGATTTCCATATATTTATATGACTTATGATGAGTTAAACACCAGACATTACAACAGATGTGGAAGATGTTCAACACATTAGTCATCATTCTATAAAACAGATATGAATTTTACTGAAGTTCTGTACTACGTACAAGGCTCTGTGGTGCCTAGGTCACCTCTATAAGACATTTCTGTCATCAGCAATCAATGTAATGAACCAGCAACATCCAAAAACAATGCTTATAGGTGGTATGGTATACTGAAAATGCTCAAAAATATACTGTGGATAAATAAATCATACCTCTGAAGAATCCTCAGTTTGAACATCAAGCCCTTCAAGATAATTAAAAGATGACTGGACTTTTTTCAATGTTAGGTCAGCAGGCAGAGTCCCCTCATTATAAGAAGTGACGAATTTGAAGTCACTGGTTCGTGATCCCGTGGTCAGATATGCATCGTAATTGTAGGTGCTGCGGAGAGTTCCCGCTCCCTCCACCTCTGCGTAATTTGGAGGGAGATACGCGCTGGGTATGGCCACAGCTCCATCAAACAGCAGTCTGGGCTTCCTCCTGTGACAAAACCTCATGGCCAGGATGATGATGATGAAGGTGAGGAAGAAAGTGGAGACGGACACCAGCGCGATGATCAAATAAAAAGTCAGTTTGGAGCTGCTCCCATCATGAGACATGTCTTTCAGTTCAGGAATCTCAGCCAAGTTATCAGAAATGAGTAAATAGACGGCGCAGGTTGCAGAAAGTGAAGGCTGTCCGTTATCTTTGACTGAAACAATGAGATTCTGCTTTGTACTGTCAGACTCAGAAATGTCCCGCTGCGTCCTGATTTCTCCACTGTGCTCACCAATAGTGAAAAGTCCTGGGTCAGTCGCTTTCACTATGTGATAAGAAAGCCATGCATTTTGACCAGAGTCCGCATCCACTGCGATCACCTTGGACACCAGAGAGCCTGACTGGGCAGCTTTGGGCACCATCTCAGTCATGAAGGAGTTTCCTTCCGGAGAGGGGTATAAGATTTGTGGAGAGTTATCATTCTCATCACTTACGAAGACGCTCACAGTCACGTTACTGCTGAGTGGAGGAGAACCGTTGTCTCTGGCTAAGACGAGCACTTTGAAACTTTTCAACTGCTCATAATCAAAAGACCTCACTGCATGGATAACACCTGTGTCTCCATTAATGGATACAAATGAGGACACTGGAGCACCACTGACATCAGAAGGGAGAAGAGAATAAACTACAGTACCATTCTGTCTCCAGTCTGGGTCTGTTGCTGCTACAGTACAAACAGAGGAGCCTGGTTTGTTATTTTCTTTCACATGAGCGCTGTAAACCTGCTCCTCAAATACAGGTGGATTGTCATTCACATCAGCTACTGATAAATGAATAGTTTTAGAGGAGGACAAAGGTGGAGAGCCTTCATCAGTAGCAGTGATTGTAATGTTATAATCAGATACGAGCTCTCGGTCTAATTCACCTGTTGTCACCAGAGAATAATAACTTTTCAGTGATGGAACAAGTTTAAAGGGAACATTTTGCTGAAGGGAGCACTTTACCCGTCCGTTATTCTCTGTGTCTCTATCCTGCACATTAATGATGCCTACTTCTGTACCTGGAGTCAAATTTTCAGGGACTGGAGTATGCAGAGACTTCAAAAATATTTCAGGTGCATTGTCATTGACGTCAACAATTTGTATCACTACATTTGCTTCTGAAGAGAAACCAAACTCATCTTTCCCTTCAACTGTCATTTCATACACTGAAGCCTCCTCAAAATCTATATGTCCAGTAACTGTGATCTGTCCATTATGTAGATCCAATGAAAATACCTTCCTGGCTTTAGCAGATATACGACCAAATTCATAAGTCACTTTTCCATTTGGTCCTTCATCTGCATCTGTAGCGCTCACAGTAAGCACCGCCGTGCCTAAAGGTGAATTTTCAGGCAGACCGACCTTATAAACAGACTGACTAAACACTGGAGCATTATCATTAGCATCCAGTACAGTGACGTGTATGGCTACAGTACCTGATCTCGGCGGAGTCCCACCATCAACTGCAGTGAGAATTAAATTAACCTCTTCCTTCTGCTCGCGGTCTAGCTCTTTGTCTAACACCAACTCAACATATTTCCTTCCATATACATTTGAGCTGACAGCCAGAGAAAAGTGTTCATTTTTCTCCAGCACATAGCCGTGTACGGTATTCTGTCCTATGTCTGCATCATGAGCCTCATTCACACGGTATCGAGCGCCTCTATCAGCAGATTCGCGGATTTCAAACGTGATTAAATCCTTCGAAAACACTGGAGCATTATCATTGATGTCCTCAATTTGAAGCGAAACACGATGCAGCTCCAAAGGCTGTTCTAACATTAGATCAAATTTCAAAACACATGAAAGCTCGTCCCCACATATCTCCTCTCTGTCAATCCTTTCCGCTACGGTCAGTTCTCCAGTATTCACATTAATGTCGCAGTAGCGTTTTCGGTTACCTTCAGTATCAATACGAGCCTTACGAGCTGCCAGTCTGTTCACATCGAGTCCCAGATCCTTCGCTATATTTCCAATCACGTATCCGCGTTTCATCTCCTCCGGAAAAGAATAGCTCACATCTCCATTGGCGTTGTGCACAAAAAGAATAAAAAGACAAAAGCCCAACATCCGAATCAGCACCGAGAAACGCTTAAATGCCATCTCCAGAAGAATTCGAGTTTATATCCACATAAATACAGAGGAGAAACTCAACGATTACAGGCAAGAAATATGTGTGACGCAAAGACAAAAGGCAGAGCAGTGTCGCTGAATGAGTCTAAAACGAGAAGCGTCAACCAATTGACCTCCTGAACAGGGCTGAGAGAAAAAACGTGGGTGTGTTCAAGGGACAAAGCCTTGCGCAAGTCAAATGATCTACACATCATATATAACATGATTTTTGGACAAATAATGACTTGAATATCAGCGAATCCGAGCAGCTCTGCGTTACAATAACGCCCTCTAGATACCCGTTGCTTTGCTGATCAACAGCGACACCGTGAGTCACAATAGGGAATAATTTGCAGACAACATTTAAGAAACTGAAGAAAATAAAATGATAAACTGGAATTAAAACACGTGTGAAACGCTATGGAGACACGACAAGTTGGGATTACTAACAAACAAACTGACTATTGATCCACAGATAAAACGGTAATGTAGCACCATGGACAGCAGCAAAGACAAAATACATAAAAAACTCGCATTACCACACTTTTTAGAAAAGGAAATAAAATTATACAAATTAAATATATGTATAAAATGCCAAAGAGAAAGAGATACATTATACAATTCATGCGTGCCAAAGTTAGGTCATTAATAAAACACAAATCTAAAATGGCGCCCTTAAGGAGTTGTGATGGCCCGGGTGGATTAATAATTAATATATTTTTTGGACGTTATTATCGCACGTTATGACTGCTTTTGCAGTGCCGGCTCTACTATAAGTTGAAAAGACGGAAATAGCAATAAACAGAGGGGGAAAATAGCAAAAACAGGACCCTTTGATGCAGCATGGATCATTCCTCTCATTAACAATCAGTATGATGAGCCACTAATTTTACATATTCCATATTTCAGGTCAAACAACAGACATACTTTTAGACAGGCCGTCATTGTTCTGTGAATTCTTTGAATGATGATGCAGCATTAAAGTCTAGAAAGGTGCTAAAGCACTGGGCTACTAATCACTGGGATTATAAGGTTTAGTTCAATGATGAAAGGAAAAACTGCATGTCATACCTGGGAGGAGTCGTTTAAACCATCGTCAAATCCGTCAAAATCGCCAGTAGAACACTGATTTTTTTTCAGAGTCAAATCAGCTGGCAGAGTTCCCTCATTGTAAGAAGTGACGAACTTGAAGTCACTGGTTCGTGATCCTGTGGTCAGATATGCATCGTAATTGTAGGTGCTGCGGAGAGTTCCCGCTCCCTCCACCTCTGCGTAATTTGGAGGGAGATACGCGCTGGGAATGGCCACAGCTCCATCAAACAGCAGTCTGGGCTTTCTCCTGTGACAAAACCTCACGGCCAGGATGATGATGATGAAGGTGAGGAAGAAGGTGGAGACGGACACCAGCGCGATGATCAAATAAAAAGTCAGTTTGGAGCTGCTCTCATCATAAGACATGTCTTTCAGTTCAGGAATCTCAGCCAAGTTATCAGAAACAAGTAAATAGACGGCGCAGGTTGCAGAAAGTGAAGGCTGTCCGTTATCTTTGACTGAAACAATGAGATTCTGCTTTGTACTGTCGGATTCAGAAATGTCCCGCTGCGTCCTGATTTCTCCACTGTGCTCACCAATAGTGAAAAGTCCTGGGTCAGTCGCTTTCACTATATGATAAGAAAGCCACGCGTTTTGACCAGAGTCCGCATCCACTGCGATCACCTTGGACACCAGAGAGCCTGACTGGGCAGCTTTGGGCACCATCTCAGTCATGAAGGAGTTTCCTTCCGGAGAGGGGTATAAGATTTGTGGAGAGTTATCATTCTCATCACTTATGAAGACGCTCACAGTCACGTTACTGCTGAGTGGAGGAGAACCGTTGTCTCTGGCTAAGACGAGCACTTTGAAACTTTTCAACTGCTCATAATCAAAAGACCTCACTGTATGGATAACACCTGTGTCTCCATTAATGGATACAAATGAGGATACTGGAGCACCACTGACATCAGAAGGGAGAAGAGAATAAACTACAGTACCATTCTGTCTCCAGTCCGGGTCTGTTGCTGCTACTGTACAAACAGAGGAGCCTGGCTTGTTATTTTCTTTCACATGAGCGCTGTAAATCTGCTCCTCAAATACAGGTGGATTGTCATTCACATCAGCTACTGATAAATGAATAGTTTTAGAGGAGGACAAAGGTGGAGAGCCTTCATCAGTAGCAGTGATTGTAATGTTATAATCAGATACGAGCTCTCGGTCTAATTCACCTGTTGTCACCAGAGAATAATAATTTTTAATTGATGGAACGAGTTTAAATGGAACATTGTGCTGAAGTGAACAGCGAACCTGTCGATTTTTCTCAGAGTCTCTGTCCTGTACATTAATAATGCCCACCTCTGTACCAAGTAAAACATTCTCAGGAACTTGATCATTAAGAGACTTAAGATATATTTCAGGAGCATTGTCATTAACATCTAGAATATCTACTATGACTTTCGAAAAAGATGAGAGTCCATAACCATCTTTTGCCTCAATTTGCATTTCATATTTTACTTCCTCTTCATAATCCAAATGACCTTTTAACCTAATTTGTCCAAGCTTTTGATCTAATGAAAAAATTTCTTTGGCTATATCAGAAACTCTACTAAATCCAAAAGTTACTTCACCGTTTACTCCCTCATCTGCATCTGTAGCGCTCACAGTGACTACTACAGTGTCTAGAGGTGAATTTTCAGGCAGACTGGCTGTATAAACAGACTGACTAAACACTGGAGCATTATCATTAGCATCCAATACAGTGACGTGTATGGCTACAGTACCTGATTTCGGTGGAGTCCCACCATCAACTGCAGTCAGCATCAATGTTATCTCCTGCTCCTGCTCGCGATCTAACTCTCTGTCCAACACTAAATTAATATTTTCCCCTTCATCGCTGATTGAATTCACGTTTAATATAAAGTAAGCATTCTTTTGTAAGCTATACGCTTGCACTGCATTCTGCCCGATATCTGAATCATGAGCTTCATTAATGCGGAAGCGAGAGCCTTTTACAGCAGATTCAGTTATTTCGAGTTTAATTACCTCCTTTGGAAAAACTGGTGAATTATCATTGATGTCTGTAACATGTAATGTAATTCGATGTAATTCCAAGGGATTCTCCAGAACGAGATCAAAACTGAGAAGACAAGACATCTTTTCTTTACACAGCCCCTCTCTGTCAATCCTTTCTGCTACAGTCAGTTCTCCAGTATTCACATTAATGTCGCAGTAACGTTTTCGGTTACCTTCAGTATCAATACGAGCCTTACGAGCTGCCAGTATGTTCACATCGAGTCCCAGATCCTTGGCTATATTTCCGATCACAGATCCGCGTTTCATCTCCTCCGGAAAGGAATAGCTCACATCTCCAAAAGCGGTGTTTACCAAGACCACGAGCAAACAAAAGCCAGTAATCATATCTACAGCTTTCAGCGGTTTAATGTCCATGGCGAAAGGCAAAAGAGCACAAAATGGCTAATCTGCCCGAAGCCCAGAATATAACCCAGAACGTACAAGGAAGGACAAAGGATTAAGACAGAGAAAAAAAAAGCATTTTTTCAGCTACGTGACATCATGAACAGGGTGGAGAGATGAGAGTGTGTCCCCCAAATGCTTTGCTGGTGAACAGCGACTCTAAGAGTTGTATCGAAAAACTGCATGATAAAGTACTTAAATTACACATCATGCAGTAATTTCCTTCATATGCTTATGTTGTTGATATATCAACTGAAAAAAAGTTCATGCACTGAATTTATGTAATTCACATATGCACACCATATCCCACATCAATACAATTCCTACATTAACATAATTATTACTAAAAGTAAATGAACTAAAAGACAAAATTGTGTTGATGTTTTGTGTTTTATCTATAGTGAAATTATGTACTCCTTCATTTGAATACATTCACTATATTCCTTGTTTCAGTGTAAACAGGAGAAAAAAAATAACTGTTGAAAGTAATGGATGCAAGAAATAAGTAATGGACCAACTTAGAAAACAATCATGCACTTAATGCCATACACGTACTACAAAACGCCACCTCTTCAAATAGCCAAGTCTCAACGATTCAGAATTCTATGACTCCCTAAGAAAAATCAGTTTGCATTGTTTTCCATGAAATTGCTGAATAAAGAGTCTTATGACGTAATAATCTTGGGGATATAAGAAGGTAAATGAGAAAACACCTTAGCCTAGAAAACAGCACCATGGAGAGCAACCGAGGCTTGCAAGATGCTATTTCAGGATAAATTATTCAGACACAGAACCAGCACTATGTAATTATGAAAATACTATTGTTGTCCATGTGACAAATACAAATAATTATAACTAAGCAAAAAGAAGGCAGTCTCAGTTTTTCAACATGCACCACAAAGTTTAAACAAAAAACCTGGTTATAAAGCTTTAACTAGTGAAGCAATGAAACTTTATGATACCTGTGTGCAGTGTGCACCATACAAACTCACAATCTGAATTGATTATGGTAAATATTGCGAGTGCTATTATCAGAACTGAAAATGTTAAATAAAATGCAAAACTGCAGTTTCAGAGAATACATCAAACACCTAACCTCACCCAATCCTCAGTACCAATACTGACGTCAACACTAGCATAGAGGCTTCAACTACAGACAGACCAGTTTATCAAGGGTCATAAAATGCTCATAACACTTCTCAGATAAATGATTGTATTAATAAAAAAATGATTTGCTGGAGGAAAAATTAAACGCAAGAAAACTTCTTTATTTGTTATATATATGGTGCTGCAAAACAACGTTACACTCAGTTTACACATAAAACACACATGAAACAAAATATGTCAAAAATATTTTTTGAATGTAGGAAAAGGTTAATATAATGTATACTGAACCTGAGCAGAATCACCATTGAGTCCTGTTAGATCATCCACAATGCAATCAGTCTTCTTCAGAGTCAGGTCAGCAGGCAGGGTTCCTCCTTCATTATATGAAGTGATGAACTTGAAGTCACTGGTTCGTGATCCTGTGGTCAGATACGCATCGTAATTGTAGGTGCTGCGGAGAGTTCCCGCTCCCTCCGCCTCTGCGTAATTTGGAGGGAGATACGCGCTGGGAATGGCCACAGCTCCATCAAACAGCAGTCTGGGCTTCCTCCTGTGACAAAACCTCACGGCCAGGATGACGATGATGAAGGTGAGGAAGAAAGTAGAGACGGACACCAGCGCGATGATCAAATAAAAAGTCAGTTTGGAGCTGCTCTCATCATAAGACATGTCTTTCAGTTCAGGAATCTCAGCCAAGTTATCAGAAATGAGTAAATAGACGGCGCAGGTTGCAGAAAGTGAAGGCTGTCCGTTATCTTTGACTGAAACAATGAGATTCTGCTTTGTACTGTCAGATTCAGAAATGTCCCGCTGCGTCCTGATTTCTCCACTGTGCTCACCAATAGTGAAAAGTCCTGGATCAGTCGCTTTCACTATGTGATAAGAAAGCCACGCGTTTTGACCAGAGTCCGCATCCACTGCGATCACCTTGGACACCAGAGAGCCTGACTGGGCAGCTTTGGGCACCATCTCAGTCATGAAGGAGTTTCCTTCCGGGGAGGGGTATAAGATTTGTGGAGAGTTATCATTCTCATCACTTATGAAGACGCTCACAGTCACGTTACTGCTGAGTGGAGGAGAACCGTTGTCTCTGGCTAAGACGAGCACTTTGAAACTTTTCAACTGCTCATAATCAAAAGATCTCACTGCATGGATAACACCTGTGTCTCCATTAATGGATACAAATGAGGATACTGGAGCACCACTGACATCAGAAGGTAGAAGAGAATAAACTACAGTACCATTCTGTCTCCAGTCCGGGTCTGTTGCTGCTACTGTACAAACAGAGGAGCCTGGTTTGTTATTTTCTTTCACATGAGCGCTGTAAACCTGCTCCTCAAATACAGGTGGATTGTCATTCACATCAGCTACTGATAAATGAATAGTTTTAGAGGAGGACAAAGCTGGAGAGCCTTCATCAGTAGCAGTGATTGTAATGTTATAATCAGATACGAGCTCTCGGTCTAATTCACCTGTTGTCACCAGAGAATAATAATTTTTAATTGATGGAACGAGTTTAAAGGGAACATTTTGCTGAAGTGAACAGTGAACCTGGCCATTTTTCCCTGAATCTCTGTCCTGTACGTTAATAATTCCTACTTCTGCACCAATCAAGGCATTTTCAGGAAGGGGGATATTCAGAACTTTAACGATTATTACAGGACTATTGTCGTTGACGTCAGTAATACTTACAGAAACTTTTGTATCAGACTTCAGGCCGTACGAATCCATTGCCTGTATACGCATTTCAAATTTAGAGTCCTCCTCAAAATCAAGAGGTCTTATAACCTTAAGTTGGCCTGTTTTTTGATCTAGTGAGAACAAATTTCTGGCTTTGTCTGATATCCGATTAAAATCATATGTAATTTCTCCGTTTGCTCCTTCATCTGCATCTGTAGCGCTCACTGTAGCCACTACAGTACCTAAAGGTGAATTTTCAGGTAGACTGACTGTATAAACCGGCTGACTAAACACTGGAACATTATCATTAGCATCCAGTACAGTGACGTGTATGGCTACAGTACCTGATCTCGGCGGAGTCCCACCATCAACTGCAGTGAGAATTAATTTAACCTCACCCTGCTGCTCACGATCCAGTTCTTTTTCTAATACTAGCTCACCATATTTGCCTCCATCCATATTTGAGTTAACAGACAAAACAAAATAATCATTTCTTTGTAAAATGTAATTCTGAACAGCGTTTCTTCCTGTATCACTATCGTGAGCGTCATCCAAACGAAATCGAGCACCTTTGGTCACTGATTCACTTATTTCAAGTTTAATGACATCCTTTTGGAAACTGGGAGAGTTGTCGTTCACGTCGTCTATTTTAAGCGTGATCTGATGGAGCTCTAACGGCCCTTCCAGCACTAACTCACAATGAAGAACACACGACACCGTGTCGCTGCATATTTCCTCTCTGTCAATCCTTTCCGCTACGGTCAGTTCTCCAGTATTCACATTAATGTCACAGTAGCGTTTTCGGTTACCTTCAGTATCAATACGAGCCTTACGAGCTGCCAGTCTGTTCACATCGAGTCCCAGATCCGTGGCTATATTTCCGATCACAGATCCGCGTTTCATCTCCTCCGGAAAGGAATAGCTCACGTCACCCAAAGCGGTTTGAGCAAAGAGGACAAAGAAACAATAGCTCAGCATCAGCCCAGCACTAAAACAGCCTTTCCGATCCATAACGTGCTGAGTATTCGTCTAATGAATAGACGATAAACACGTCCACATATATACAATCAAGACAAAATGTGGGGAAATAGTGCGCCGTACGTTTACCGACCACACTGGCTCGGTGTTTTATGGAAAAAGCCCAACGTGCAGCCCTCCAAGTGACGACATAGAAAGAAGGGTGGAGAGATGGACGACACGAACCTTCTAATACGGTTGCTGGTGAACAGCGACGCTGTGAGTTACAATGAGAAATTGCACTTTTTTAAGCATTTTGTTTCAGATTGTATTCAGATCAAATCCAAAAGCAATGTGCTGCAGTAAAGAAAGAAAGAAAGAAAGAAAGAAAGACAGAAAGAAATAAAGAAAGAAAAGAAAGAAAGAAAGAAAGAAAGAAAGAAAAGAAAGAAAGAAAAAGAACAAAACACCACTTGTTATATTGATAATAAACAACTCACTAAGCAACAAATTGCAGTCTAAGTGTCCCAAACTAGACAGTTTCGGGACAAACTGTCTTGATTTCTAGGAATGGTTCACTGAAAAAAGTGACTGGAGTTATGAATCTAATGGAGTTAAATAATTATGGAAGTGTATACACACACACACACACACACACACACACACACACACACAAGAAGAGAGAGATTAAATTTCAGTGAACCGTTCTTAGACTTCTCTTCAATTAGTTTCTCGGTTCCAGTGGAAAACTAAAGAAACAAAGATTGGAGTGCAAGCAAATACTAGATGATCAAATGTGTTTGGGCTGAGGGGAAGACTGTGTATTTTTTTTTTGTTGTTGTTTTTTTGGTGAACCAGTCTTTTAATAAATCAGTTTCAGCACCATGGATAGTAACAACTACAGTGTACCAGTTACTTTATCCAATTCAAACAGGAACAAATGAAATATGATAATAATAAAAGACTACAGATTCTTCGAGAAACGGTACTCCTCCAGGCCAGTTAGATTAAGACACGAGTATTTTATAATCAGTTTAATCAAATATAAATTTTCACATTTACGATCCAGGGAGACTGCTTTAAACAAATATAGACTACATTTCACAGAATTAACCTACACAGAACATTCATAAAGTATTCACATTACAAAAGTCTTAAATTCAGATGGGGGAATTTAACTAAAAAATACACATGTATTCCCTAATCACTTAAATGGATTTGGAAAAAGGATCATGAATTTCCAATGAATAAATATACCAGGTGCACGTTAGACTCTAATCAAAGGTGTTTGGGTAATTTGAAATTGCTTAACTCTTCTCATACTCGCTTGAATAAAGACGAATAACACAAGCTAGATCATTCTGCAACATGTAAATGATTCATTTTAACTAAATGCTAAAGACGTACTTGCTAAACTCAAAATAAATGATAACACCAACATTTTTGTGGTTTTCAATAACGAATAAAAGTTAAATTCTTGATGGATATTAGGCTAAAAAGACCAATTTCCTATTGGCTTACTTTTAAAAAATCCTGAGACTTTGCGTAGAGGGTACAAAGGAAACGTCTCCCGATGAAAATGAATTCCCATGATGAAGTGCGCTATCCAATACTCATATATAATTGGACAGAACAACCTAGCGATGTATTTGTGTCTAAATAATTTGGGAACTTAAAAATACTGAGTAAGGTAAAATAAGCTCTAAGTTTGTGACAAGTGTTAGTATTTAAACAATAAAATATGCTCTTTTAAAACGTTCAGGACATTTCAAGAAATCATTGGAAGAAATAGTTTCGGTGACTGCAAACTGAAAGAGTACCCGTTCACTGTTTGGGCACAGATGACCTATGACTCAAAGGTCTACCGAGATTAGGAGACCCAGTGATACGTGATTTGTCCAATGACTAAGACTTGAGCTGGAACCTCATACGTGACAAAAGTTTTCTGTCGACTGCATACTTAAAAGTGTCTATAAAGGAACAAGCAGTATCAAAATAATCTGAAAAGGTATCTCTCAAAATGCATTATTTGTTTCTACAAATAAAGCAAATCTTACCAAAACCATTCATTGTGAAGCAAATAACTGACTTCAGGGAAAAAATGAAACCCGCATACTAATGAATTTATCAACATGCATATTCGAAAAACTGCGTGTAAATGGAATGACACAAAACAATGAAACCGACCAAATCACAAGAGATCAAATTCATGTTCAAGACGTGAACTAGGAAAAACGTCCACACAAATGTCAATAAAGCTGAACATTCATTAATATTTTAGGCAAGAATCATTGCAAATAATACGCTCAGAAGAAAAAAAATCGTGTGCGCTTTAAAGAGTCTAAACGTCTATAAACGATTTAAAACTTAAGCCACAGAACAAGTGATATTGTACCACAAAAAAAGTGACTTTTTACATAAATCACACATTTTTTTTACGCAGGCAAACTATGCAGAAAAAAAATCAGACAAATCAACAGCAGGCTAGAAAACTGAAATCGAAATCTCTTTGAAAGAGGCGAAAGCGAATAACCACACAGTAAGGCCACCTTAAAATGTATCATACCTTTGAAGAATCGTTAGTTTCCCCATCAAGCCCTTCAAAGTCGTTTAAAGATGACTGAACCCTCTTCAGAGTCAGATCAGCTGGCAGAGTTCCTTCATTATAAGAAGTGACGAACTTAAAATCACTGGTTCGTGATCCTGTGGTCAGATATGCATCGTAATTGTAGGTGCTGCGGAGAGTTCCCGCTCCCTCCACCTCTGCGTAATTTGGAGGGAGATACGCGCTGGGAATGGCCACAGCTCCATCAAACAGCAGTCTGGGCTTCCTCCTGTGACAAAACCTCACGGCCAGGATGATGATGATGAAGGTGAGGAAGAAAGTGGAGACGGACACCAGCGCGATGATCAAATAAAAAGTCAGTTTGGAGCTGCTCTCATCATAAGACATGTCTTTCAGTTCAGGAATCTCAGCCAAGTTATCAGAAATGAGTAAATAGACGGCGCAGGTTGCAGAAAGTGAAGGCTGTCCGTTATCTTTGACTGAAACAATGAGATTCTGCTTTGTACTGTCAGATTCAGAAATGTCCCGCTGCGTCCTGATTTCTCCACTGTGCTCACCAATAGCGAAAAGTCCTGGATCAGTCGCTTTCACTATGTGATAAGAAAGCCACGCGTTTTGACCAGAGTCCGCATCCACTGCGATCACCTTGGACACCAGAGAGCCTGACTGGGCAGCTTTGGGCACCATCTCAGTCATGAAGGAGTTTCCTTCCGGAGAGGGGTATAAGATTTGTGGAGAGTTATCATTCTCATCACTTATGAAGACGCTCACAGTCACGTTACTGCTGAGTGGAGGAGAACCGTTGTCTCTGGCTAAGACGAGCACTTTGAAACTTTTCAACTGCTCATAATCAAAAGACCTCACTGCATGGATAACACCTGTGTCTCCATTAATGGATACAAATGAGGATACTGGAGCACCACTGACATCAGAAGGGAGAAGAGAATAAACTACAGTACCATTCTGTCTCCAGTCCGGGTCTGTTGCTGCTACTGTACAAACAGAGGAGCCTGGTTTGTTATTCTCTTTCACATGAGCGCTGTAAATCTGCTCCTCAAATACAGGTGGATTGTCATTCACATCAGCTACTGATAAATTAATTGTTCTAGAGGAGGACAAAGGTGGAGAGCCTTCATCAGTAGCAGTGATTGTAATGTTATAATCAGATACGAGCTCTCGGTCTAATTCACCTGTTGTCACCAGAGAATAATAATTTTTAATTGATGGAACGAGTTTAAAGGGAACATTTTGCTGAAGTGAACAGTGAACCTGTCGATTATTTCCAGAGTCTCTGTCCTGAACATTAATGATTCCCACCTCTGTACCAGGTAAAGTGTTCTCAGCTATAGGGCTATTCAATGATTTGATAACTAAGACTGGGGCATTGTCGTTCACATCTATAATGTCAATATGTAGATTAGAGTAAGAAGCTAACCCCGCCCCATCCTTTGCTTGTACACGAAGTTCATAAGTGGACTCCTCTTCATAATCAACTAATCCGACTACTTTAACTTCCCCCGTTTTAGAATCGAGGGAAAACAGTCTAATGTAGTCTTCAGACACATGACCAAACTCATACGTCACCTCACCATTGGCACCTTCATCTGCATCTGTAGCGCTCACTGCAGCAACTACAGTACCTAGAGGTGAATTTTCAGGCAGACTGACCTTATAAACCGACTGACTAAACACTGGAGCATTATCATTAGCATCCAGTACAGTGACGTGTATGGCTACAGTACCTGATCTCGGTGGAGTCCCACCATCAACTGCAGTGAGAATCAGTGTTATTTCCTTCTGCTTCTCACGATCTAGTTCCTTGTTAAGAACCAATTCTCCATATTTTCCCCCAACCGTGTTTGTTTGGACAGATAAAGCAAAGTGTTCATTGTTTTCCAATACATAGCTTTGTACTGTATTCTCTCCTATATCTGCATCGATTGCTTCATCTAGCAAATATCGAGCACCTTTGTCTGCTGATTCACGTATTTCTAATTTAATTATTTCTCTTTTAAATTGAGGTGAATTGTCATTGATATCCTGTACATGAAGGCTAACACGTTGTAGCTCTAAAGGACTCTCCAACACAAGCTCTGCCGTGATCACGCATGAAGCCTTTTTCCCACAAAGCCCCTCTCTGTCAATCCTTTCTGCAACAGTCAGTTCTCCAGTATTCACATTAATGTCACAGTAGCGTTTTCGGTTACCTTCAGTATCAATACGAGCCTTACGAGCTGCCAGTCTGTTCACATCGAGTCCCAGATCCTTCGCTATATTTCCAATCACAGATCCGCGTTTCATCTCCTCCGGAAAAGAATAGCTCACATCTCCAAAGGCGGTACGCGCCACCATGACGAACAAACAAAAGCCCAGAGTGAGACCAGCAGCAGAGAAGCCTTTTCTCCCCATTTCTCTAAGGTTAGACAAGCCAGTTCAGTGATGCTTATTTCCGCGTGTACATAAAGGATTATTCGGGAATGTATGATCCAACCAAGAAGAAAAACCCTTAAAAAGGAGGAACAACAGTGATTCAGCCCCGTCGACGGTTTCCTACAACAAGGAGGAGCAACAGCGTTAAACGTGACATAAGCAGGAGGTGGAGAGAGCGCTGAACGTGTCTCCACAGAGCTTTGCAGGTGAACAGCGACACTACGAGTCACAACGAGAAACTGCATGTAGCCGCGACCGTACTGAAAATAAATGTTATGTGTAGATGAACTAAACTCTCAATTTATGTATTTAGAATCCAGTATGATTACAGTAAGATGTATCAACCAAAAAAGCAAATTCTTTCATGAATATACTGATGCATTCGTGACAATTGAGTAAAAGTTCTGATTATTCACTGTGAAGAGATTAACTGCCACACAACGACAAAGGATTGTTTAATAACTACCATCTCAAACCACAGCCTACAGAAAAACTCCATTGGCTGCGCGGTGCAGCACCATGGACAGAGCCAGCCAGAAAGTACCGCGAAGAAATTAATCAAAAATAAGTCGTTTACTTACAAGGTAAAATGCACATATCCATTCGCCAACAGTCGCAGAGCACAATCACTACCGGTACCATAAAACAGTATTTCCGATAAAGCGAACCTACGGTCTTCACTTGTTTTTCGCAAGTTATTTAATGATCGTTTAATGATCACTTAAAGGTAATATTAGATCAAAGGCCTGAACACGTTAATGAACCTGGTAAAATAATAAACCATCAGAAATAAAAAAGCCATAAATCAAAAACCGAATTTCTTTGAAAGAACAGCGCTGGGGCAGTTGTAAATACAGAATGACTTTTTTGTTGAATGACTGGCATTAACTACTAACTTCAAATTATTAATTTTTTAATATAACTATTTTATTTGTAGTATGTTTTCCAGCTACATACAGTGTTCCAGCAGATTACTCTGCTCTCAAAGTTACACGATGCTGACCAATACTACCTGATTTACATGTCATATGAGTTTCTTCAATACAGATCTCTACAGTGTGGGATATGCTGACCAATGCTCCCTCCAAACTGATCTAACATGAAGAAATGTTTCAAATTTCGCCTTGTAGCAAACTCTGAGTTGTGGGACTTTGTAGCACTGCATGAACGATTACCAAAATGTGGTATAAAGGTAAACATTTTACAGAGTGTTTCATTAAATATACACACATTTCAGCCAGACTTTATTTCGATGGTCCCCTTCAGATGCTCTACAGACACTTAAATCATTAACAAACTTTCTGGTGATAATCAGTATCACTAGGACAGCTTTTTTACATCTTCGCAATATTGCCAGAATAAGAAATGCCTTATCGCTGCATGATGCAGAAACATTAGTACATGCCTTTATTACTTCAAGGCTAGACTATTGTAATGCACTACTGTCAGGATGCACCAGCAGGAATTTAAGTAAACTTCAACTAGTTCAAAATGCTGCAGCCAGGGTTCTCACTAAAACTAGAAATTTTGATCATATCAGTCCAGTTCTATCATCACTTCATTGGCTGCCTGTTAAATTCCGTATTGATTACAAAATTCTTTTATTGACGTATAAAGCCCTACATGGGCTCGCTCCTGAGTACCTGCAAGACCTTATTTCCCATTACGAGCCACCATGATTACTCAGATCACAGAGTGCTGGCTTTTTAATAGTTCCCAGAATTCAGAAGGTTTCATCTGGGGGAAGAGCCTTTTCTTATAAAGCCCCCAAACTATGGAATGATCTTCCAGAAAATGTTCGGGACTCAGACTCAGTCGCAATCTTCAAATCTAGGCTGAAAACTCACTTGTTTAGTTTAACTTTTGGTAGTTAATGTTTCCCCTTAGATAAAGGCAGCAGATCCAGGCGTCCACGGACGCAGGGAATTATAGTAAACTGAGATGCTGGTGCTGTCATCCTGCTGCTCGCACGCGATCACTCAGGTTTGTGGACGGTGGAGTGGAGGGATGCCAAATTGTTTCAGGGTGCTCCCGTATCTGTGTGCCCTTTTGGTTCTCTCCTTTTAGTTAAGCTGTTATAGTCAGATCTGCCAGAGTCATTAGCCACACTCTGGAAATGTTTTACATATTATTATACATACACCCATACAGAACTAAACTCCATCTCCCTACCTTTTTTCCGAGTAAACGACTGCCCACCTGTCCGGCCGGACACTGATGGACAATTGTCTGTCAAGCTCTCCTGCTACCCGCTTCAGAGCAGTTGCCCACGCGCCAGTTACCGCCACCTGCCTTGGACTGGCTGCCCACCCGACACTGAAGTGGACTCCTAACTATTATTACTACTACTACTATTAATATTAGTAGTATAATAATTTTGTAGGTAGTTTGACCAGAGGAGGATGGGTCCCCCCTTGTGAGCCTTGGTTCCTCCCAAGGTTTCTTCCCCAGCTCTGAGGGGGTTTTTCCTTGCCACTGTCGCCCCTGGCTTGCTCACCTGGAGGATTTACATTTCATGTTAAAACTTTGTCCTTAATGGATTTCTGTGAAGCTGCTTTGTGACAACATCAGCTGTAGAAAGCGCTATACAAATAAATTTGACTTGACTTGATTACCAACAACATTATGGTCAGGTTCAGGGTTAGGAGTAGTTGTAGGTTTTGCCTTAAGGTTAGATTTAGGGTGAGATTCAGGGTTAAGGATAGATTTAATAAAAATTTTCATACTAAACTTGAAGTTCAGTTGCATTTACTGGAAATTCAGTTGAATGTTACTTACAAACAAACTGAGCATTTACAAAGCATCTACAGTGGACCATCCAAATAAAGAGTTACCCACATAACAAATAAAATATGATTGTGTCATATTAGTTCAACAGCAATAAAACATACATATGCGAGATAATGGGTGACTTATAATAAACCCTGAGTTACTGTAACAAGAATGCTAACAGGTATACAAAGTATTCATTTTAAATAGATAAACTTTTCAAAAAAAGGTGCATAGTATTCATTCATGTATGACTGCAAACTAAAAAAGTAGCTATGCAGAAATAATAGATGATAGTAGCTGGGCAGAGATGAGATGTCACTCATTCAGTGACAGACAAGGATGTGACACATCAAATCATTAAAACTTATAATGAGCTGGAACTTACTCAAAGAAATCTTGTCTGTCCAGTACATACTACACAAAAATGACCTAATAAGACATTAACTATGTCAAATAAGCGTTTCAAAATTACTCTAAAAGCTATTATTCACCATCAAGCTGAAATTAGTTTTTAACAGAAAATTACTGTAAGCAGCCGATTGATTTAGTGGACAAAGAAACAAGGGAGCTAAAGAATTTGCACAATGAACAAGCGTTGTAAGCATCTGAACAACAAAAAGCATTTGAATGACCAAATATGAAGAATATAATTCATTCATGGCACAAGACCTGCACTTTGAAGATCTTCCAAACATAATCCAATAATATTGAATATTTACAAAAACTATGCTCCAAAAGGTGCAAATATTTCAAACTATTTTGGTTGCTGTGAATAATACTGAAGTGTATTTAAATGAGTTTAAAATGCTTGAGGCCACTCATATGAACACATATATCTAAACAAACCATGCATAAAATGTAAGCCAATCAATAATGGGTTATGACACATATATAACAAGCAGTTTAAGACTGGAGGCGACAAAGAGCATATTTGGCACATACCATTGAAGAATCATTAGTTTCCCCATTAAGGCCTTCAAGATCATTTAGAGATGACTGAAATTTAAGGGTTTCATCAGCTGGCAGAGTTCCCTCATTGTAAGATGTGACGAACTTGAAGTCACTGGTTCGTGATCCTGTGGTCAGATATGCATCATAGTTGTAGGTGCTGCGGAGAGTTCCCGCTCCCTCCACCTCTGCGTAATTTGGAGGGAGATACGCGCTGGGAATGGCCACAGCTCCATCAAACAGCAGTCTGGGCTTCCTCCTGTGACAAAACCTCACAGCCAGGATGATGATGATGAAGGTGAGGAAGAAAGTGGAGACGGACACCAGCGCGATGATCAAATAAAAAGTCAGTTTGGAGCTGCTCTCATCATAAGACATGTCTTTCAGTTCAGGAATCTCAGCCAAGTTATCAGAAACAAGTAAATAGATGGCGCAGGTTGCAGAAAGTGAAGGCTGTCCGTTATCTTTGACTGAAACAATGAGATTCTGCTTTGTACTGTCAGATTCAGAAATGTCCCGCTGCGTCCTGATTTCTCCACTGTGCTCACCAATAGTGAAAAGTCCTGGATCAGTCGCTTTCACTATGTGATAAGAAAGCCATGCATTTTGACCAGAGTCCGCATCCACTGCGATCACCTTGGACACCAGAGAGCCTGACTGGGCAGCTTTGGGCACCATCTCAGTCATGAAGGAGTTTCCTTCCGGAGAGGGGTATAAGATTTGTGGAGAGTTATCATTCTCATCACTTATGAAGACGCTCACAGTCACGTTACTGCTGAGTGGAGGAGAACCGTTGTCTCTGGCTAAGACGAGCACTTTGAAACTTTTCAACTGCTCATAATCAAAAGACCTCACTGCATGGATAACACCTGTGTCTCCATTAATGGATACAAATGAGGACACTGGAGCACCACTGACATCAGAAGGGAGAAGAGAATAAACTACAGTACCATTCTGTCTCCAGTCTGGGTCTGTTGCTGCTACTGTACAAACAGAGGAGCCTGGTTTGTTATTTTCTTTCACATGAGCGCTGTAAACCTGCTCCTCAAATACAGGTGGATTGTCATTCACATCAGCTACTGATAAATGAATAGTTTTATAGGAAGACAAAGGTGGAGAACCTTCATCAGTAGCAGTGATTGTAATGTTATAATCAGATACGAGCTCTCGGTCTAATTCATCTGTTGTCACCAGCGAGTAATAATTTTTAATGGAAGGAACGAGTTTAAAGGGAACATTTTGCTGAAGTGAACAGTGAACCTGTCGATTATTTCCAGAATCTCTGTCCTGAACATTAATGATTCCCACCTCTGTACCAGGTAAAGTGTTCTCAGCTATAGGGCTATTCAATGATTTGATAACTACGACTGGGGCATTGTCGTTCACATCTATAATGTCAATATGTAGATTAGAGTAAGAAGCTAACCCCGCCCCATCCTTTGCTTGTACACGAAGTTCATAAGTGGACTCCTCTTCATAATCAATTAGTCCGACTACTTTAACTTCCCCCGTTTTAGAATCGAGGGAAAACAGTCTAGTGTAGTCTTCAGATACATGACCAAACTCATACGTCACCTCACCATTGGCACCTTCATCTGCATCTGTAGCGCTCACTGCAGCAACTACAGTACCTAGAGGTGAATTTTCAGGCAGACTGACTTTATAAACGGACTGACTAAACACTGGAGCATTATCATTAGCATCCAGTACAGTGACGTGTATGGCTACAGTACCTGATCTCGGTGGAGTCCCACCATCAACTGCAGTGAGAATCAGTGTTATTTCCTTCTGCTTCTCGCGATCTAACTCCTTATTAAGTATCAGTTCTCCATATTTTCCCCCAACCGTGTTTGTTTGGACAGATAAAGCAAAGTGTTCATTGTTTTCCAATACATAGCTTTGTACTGTATTCTCTCCTATATCTGCATCGAGTGCTTCATCTAACAAATATCGACCTCCTTTGTAAGCTAATTCAGGAATTTCTAATTTAATTAATTCTTTTTTAAACTGAGGTGAATTGTCATTGATATCCTGTACATGAAGGCTAACACGTTGTAGCTCTAAAGGACTCTCCAACACAAGCTCTGCCGTGATCACGCATGAAGCCTTTTTCCCACAAAGACCCCTCTCTGTCAATCCTTTCTGCAACAGTCAGTTCTCCAGTATTCACATTAATGTCACAGTAGCGTTTTCGGTTACCTTCAGTATCAATACGAGCCTTACGAGCTGCCAGTCTGTTCACATCGAGTCCCAGATCCTTGGCTATATTTCCAATCACAGATCCGCGTTTCATCTCCTCCGGAAAAGAATAGCTCACATCTCCAAAGGCGGTACGCGCCACCATGACGAACAAACAAAAGCCCAGAGTGAGACCAGCAGCAGAAAAGCCTTTTCTCACCCATTTCTCTAAGGTTAGACAAGCCAGTTCAGTGATGCTTATTTCCGCGTGTACATAAAGGATTATTCGGGAATGTATGATCCAACCAAGAAGAAAAACCCTTAGAAAGGAGGAACAACAGTGATTCAGCGCCCGTCGACGGTTTCCTACAACAAGGAGGAGCGACAGCGTTGAAAGTGACATAAGCAGGAGGTGGAGAGAGCGCTGAACGTGTCTCCACAGAGCTTTGCAGGTGAACAGCGACACTACGAGTCACAACGAGAAACTGCATGTAGCCGCGACCGTACTGAAAATATTCATACATTTAGAAGATTAATTAAACACCCAATCGGTTTTCATATTGTAATGTCACCAGATTAAGACATAATGATGTATTTGCCACTACCGAAGCTGTTATTCAACGCCTCTAGATAAACTGTCGCATAACGTGAAAGAACTGTTCAATAATGACTCTCAAACCACAGTCTACTTAAAAATGAATAGGAAAAATGGTGCAGCACCGTGGACAGCGCCAGCGTAAAACTACTGGGAAGTCATTTATCAGAGTAAAAAAAAAAAAGTCGTTTACTTACAAGGAACATGCACATATCTATTCACCATGATCAGTAGATCACAATCAATACCGGAAACAGTGCAAAACAAACGTAAAACAGTTTTTTTAGACATAGCAAATAACCAGTGTTGAATTGTCATTCACATCGTCAATGCTTAATATTATTTTGTGTATTTCTAGCGGATTCTCCAGCACCAGTTCCTGTGTTAAAACGCAGGAACCCTTTTTTTCACAAAGCCCCTCTCTGTCAATCCTTTCCGCTACAGTCAATTCTCCAGTATTCACATTAATGTCGCAGTAACGTTTTCGGTTACCTTCAGTATCAATACGAGCCTTACGAGCTGCCAGTCTGTTCACATCGAGTCCCAGATCCTTGGCTATATTTCCAATCACAGATCCTCGTTTCATCTCCTCCGAAAAAGAATAGCTCACATCTCCAAAGGCGGTACGAGCGAACATGAAGAACAAAGAAAAGCCCAGAGTGAGACCAGCAGCCGAAAAGCGTTGTTCCTGCATTTTGACGCATGTACATCAAAGAGTATTCTAAAACATCTGATCCAACCAAGAAGAAAAACCCTGAAATGGAAGACCAATAACTGATCTGTACAGCGCCGTCGATGGTTTTCTACAAAGAGGAGAAGTGCCAGCGTTGAAAATGACGTAATAAGCAGGGGAGGAGAGCAATGTATGTGTCTCCAAAAAGCTTCGCTGGTAAACAGCGACACTAAGAGTCACAATGAGAAATTGCATAAAGCGGTGAAAATTCCGATATGACGTACACGGAATGAGAAATATAAAAATGGATTAGTCTTTGCGTTCGGTTATTTGTCCTAAAAATAAAGAAACAAACAAAAAAATATGATTGAAATGAATTAACCATGTTCAGTCATTACATCAAAAACAATAATTTGATCATTCACTGCCAGAAAATACTGATTTACACACCTTTAATAACCACCGCAAACAGCATGCACATCGCCATATAGAAAAAAACAAGCCTATATATATATATATATATATATATATATATATATATATATATATATATATATATATATATATATATATATATACATACGAAAAAAGTGCCTATAGCATCGTCCTGTGACAAATGTCTATTTAAATATCTCTTCCTTAAAAATACATTATTACACTGCACAGCATTCGTTTTGTCCTACATTTTACTTTTGTTAGATCTGGTCTCAATGAACTCATTGGTCAATTTCTAACTTGTGTTAAAGAAGATTTTAACGCCCAGAAAAGGTGTGTATATTGCTTATTAAAATCTTGATTTGATAGATTTCAGAAAAATGAAACCAAAAATTTAAGACTAAAAATAATGCAAAATACAAACTAAAATATTCCCCACACTGCCAATGAATAACAACAAAAAGCACGTGACAACAAGCAGTTTAACATTTCCAATGAACTTCTGTACTGTTCCACTTTAAACTTTGCTAAAATTACTTTGATTCAGTATAAGAACAAAATTCTAATTGGGTCAAAACAAAAAGTTAGTGAAGCAACAAAGAAAGAATGTGCAGTAAAAGAAAAGGAAAGAAATGAAGCTCTGTGGACAACAAAACGTGCTTTTAACGGATAATAGCTATTGTAGAGTACAGTGCGCTTCAAACTGTTATTGGAGAGATGTGGCCCAACGAACTGGTATTCTCAAAAATCACTTCTGTTTTCTGCGAAGTGTAAATCTTTCAGATGAACTAATGTGCAATAAAGAAAAATAAAAATCTCACAGATAAACGTACATTTAAATGATTTAGCCGACATACATGGCAGTCTTTCTCGATGCGGGAAACACTAAGATGCAGAGAAGAAATGACAATCGTTGCTGTGAGGGTCAATCCAGAAAACGTCTGTACCTATGAAACCACGTTCACACTGACCTATATGAATTTATTTCTATCAGCCACAATTGTTGTCGAAAAAACAAGACTGCGAACTTTGCCTTTTAGTCTCGAATATGCATCATGAAACAGATCACAATCGATAATTCAGGATCAAGAGATAAGTTATGATAGGTAAATGACATTTCAATGACACCACAATAAAAGCCACCATTCTTACCCCTCCACCACCGGAAAAAGAGAAAAATGACTTCTGCATTTTGTCTGCTGTGGGATGGCTTTGCATATGACCTGATCTACGTTTATAACAAACAGGAACACAAACACAACTTAGAATATAAAGGACTATACCTGAGAATCATTCACGGAAATGACCAGTCTCTCAAGATCATCAACAGACGTTCGAGTCTTCTTTACAGTCAGGTCAGCAGGCAGGGTTCCTCCTTCATTATATGAAGTGATGAATTTGAAGTCACTGGTTCGTGATCCTGTGGTCAGATATGCATCGTAGTTGTAGGTGCTGCGGAGAGTTCCCGTTCCCTCCACCTCTGCGTAATTTGGAGGGAGATACGCGCTGGGAATGGCCACAGCTCCATCAAACAGCAGTCTGGGCTTCCTCCTGTGACAAAACCTCACGGCCAGGATGATGATGATGAAGGTGAGGAAGAAAGTGGAGACGGACACCAGCGCGATGATCAAATAAAAAGTCAGTTTGGAGCTGCTCTCATCATAAGACATGTCTTTCAGTTCAGGAATCTCAGCCAAGTTATCAGAAATAAGTAAATAGACGGCGCAGGTTGCAGAAAGTGAAGGCTGTCCGTTATCTTTGACTGAAACAATGAGATTCTGCTTTGTACTGTCAGATTCAGAAATGTCCCGCTGCGTCCTGATTTCTCCACTGTGCTCACCAATAGTGAAAAGTCCTGGGTCAGTCGCTTTCACTATGTGATAAGAAAGCCACGCGTTTTGACCAGAGTCCGCATCCACTGCGATCACCTTGGACACCAGAGAGCCTGACTGGGCAGCTTTGGGCACCATCTCAGTCATGAAGGAGTTTCCTTCCGGAGAGGGGTATAAGATTTGTGGAGAGTTATCATTCTCATCACTTATGAAGACGCTCACAGTCACGTTACTGCTGAGTGGAGGAGAACCGTTGTCTCTGGCTAAGACGAGCACTTTGAAACTTTTCAACTGCTCATAATCAAAAGACCTCACTGCATGGATAACACCTGTGTCTCCATTAATGGATACAAATGAGGATACTGGAGCACCACTGACATCAAAAGGGAGAAGAGAATAAACTACAGTACCGTTCTGTCTCCAGTCCAGGTCTGTTGCTGCTACAGTACAAACAGAGGAGCCTGGTTTGTTATTCTCTTTCACATGAGCGCTGTAAACCTGCTCCTCAAATACAGGTGGATTGTCATTCACATCAGCTACTGATAAATGAATAGTTTTAGAGGACGATAAAGCTGGAGAGCCTTCATCAGTAGCAGTGATTGTAATGTTATAATCAGATACGAGCTCTCGGTCTAATTCACTTGTTGTCACCAGAGAAAAATAGTTTTTGAGGGACGGAACAAGTTCAAATGGAATGTTTTGCTGAACGGAGCACTGAACTCGTCCCATATTCTCAGAGTCTCTGTCCTGTACATTAATGATTCCCACCTCTGTACCAGGTAACGCATTCTCAGAGAGAGGGTTGTTTAATGATTTAAGAACTATAATTGGTGCATTGTCATTTACATCAGTAATCTGTATTATTACTTTACAATAAGACTTTAAACCCGATCCGTCCTTTGCTAAAACTTTCAGTTCAAATGTTGTTTCTTCTTCAAAGTCAACCAAACTTTTAACAGTAATTTCTCCACCATCTTTATGAAGGGAAAACAATTCCTCAACTCTCTCAGACCCCTGACCCAGAGCATAAGTGACTTTCCCATTCTGTCCCTCATCTGCATCAGTAGCGCTCACAGTAACCACTACAGTGTCTAGAGGAGAATTTTCAGGCAGACTGACCTTATAAACAGACTGACTAAACACTGGAGCATTATCATTAGCATCCAGTACAGTGACGTGTATGGCTACAGTACCTGATCTCGGTGGAGTCCCACCATCAACTGCAGTCAGAACCAATGTTAGCTCCTGCTGCTGTTCACGATCCAGTTCTTTTTCTAATACCAGCTCACTATACTTGCCACCGTCCATGCTTGACCGGACATTTAAAACAAAATGCTCATTTGTTTGGAGAGAGTATGAATGAACAGAATTCTGTCCGATATCAGCATCGACAGCTTCATCTAACAGAAATACTGCACCTTTATATGCAGACTCAGCTATTTCAATTTCTATCAAGTCAATTTTAAAGCGTGGTGAATTGTCATTTATGTCTTCAATACTTAACATTATTTTGTGTATTTCTAGCGGATTCTCCAGCACCAGTTCATGTTTTAAAATACATGAAGCCTTCTTTCCACAAAGCCCCTCTCTGTCAATCCTTTCTGCTACAGTCAGTTCTCCAGTATTCACATTAATGTCGCCGTAGCGTTTCCGGTTACCTTCAGTATCAATACGAGCCTTACGAGCTGACAATCTGTTCACATCGAGTCCCAGATCCTTCGCTATATTTCCAATCACAGATCCGCGTTTCATCTCCTCCGGAAAAGAATAGCTCACATCTCCAAAAGCGGTACGCGCCACCATGAAGAACAAAGAAAAGCCTAGAGTGAGACCAGCAGCCGAGAATCCCTTTCTCCCCATTTCTGTAAAGTCAGCCACGTCAGTCTAACGATGCGTATTTCCGCGTGTGCACAAAGGAATATTCAACAATGTCTGGTCCAACCAAGAGGAAAAACCCAAAAATGGAATAATTATAATTATTCACCCACGACCGTCGACGATTTCCCACAAGGAGGACCGAGCGCGTTGAACGTGTTACAAAAGCAGGGGGAGGAGAGAGCACTGAGTGTGTCTCAAAAGAGCTTTGCAGGTCAACAGCGACACCGCGAGTCAAAACAAAAAACTGCATGTTGTGTTAATTGAAAAAGATAATTTCATTATTGTAATCAGTTTTTCGGTTAAAAATGAATGAAATCAGTACTGACGATGAAACACAAATTAATTTACAGAGAAATTGTTGTACTTAACAGATATTAAATAAAACTTTGATCATTTAGTGCTTATAAATAAACTGTCACACCTTCCTTAGAACAGCCTCAAACCACATCTAATTACAACGGAGTGTAGCAGCACCATGGACAGCGCCACTGTGAAAAACACAAATACAAATTCATCACTGAAAGAAAAAAAGGCACAGACTGTCGGTTCCACATGAATGGAATGTATTACTTCAAAACATTTTTCTTTCTTTCAGTTTACTCACTTTTGGCAATAACTGAGATGATGCAATACATATTTTATTTATGTGGAACCGATGTCTACATTTGAGTCTAGGAAAATCAGTGTACCCCACCCGCCGCCCCCAAAAAAGCATTTCGCTCAGTTCAATTAAATAACAATTTCTAAAAGCAGAAATTTCTACAGTTTCATCGGTCTCTTATTTTTCTGCGTAAATCTGAAATAAGTCTTGCCAACATGATTACCTATAACATTTTTCAACCTGTGAGTTGACAAAAACGTTGCAGTGCCCTAAAAAAGGATGGATGTATCGCTTTCTGAGATTCCAAGCATGACAGAATTTACACAAAACTTAGAAAGCTAAGGACACAAGAAGCAAACATCTGAACCGACCTCCGCTGTTTTCCAAAATTATTAGACAGGAAATTCTTATCTGAAACTATCTAGTTAGTGTAAGTCTGCGAAACAACTTTCATCATACAGTCCAACTAGCGTATGGTGGCACAATACAATATTCATAAACTCAATTAAGCTCCAAACAATTTGTAGCATGCACATAAAACACAAAGAAAAAAATTCAGGAGCAGTGGTTGGAAAATTATAAGACGCGACTGCATATAACTAAATCCACACGTCTCATGAAAAATGAAAAAAAAAATCACTTGGACTTCTGCATCGTGCTTTGTGTATGATGCATGTGCTTGTGGGTTACACACTACGACTAGGAAAAACATCAACAACTCATGAAAATAAGCGGCCATACCTGAGAGTCATTAGTAGTGCATAATCCTTCGAGATCATCGACAGACGTTTGAGTCTTCTTCAGAGTCAGGTCAGCAGGCAGGGTTCCTTCATTATAAGAAGTGACGAACTTAAAATCACTGGTTCGTGATCCTGTGGTCAGATAAGCATCGTAATTGTAGGTGCTGCGGAGAGTTCCCGCTCCATCCACCTCTGCGTAATTTGGAGGGAGATACGCGCTGGGAATGGCCACAGCTCCATCAAACAGCAGTCTGGGCTTCCTCCTGTGACAAAACCTCACGGCCAGGATGACGATGATGAAGGTGAGGAAGAAGGTGGAGACGGACACCAGCGCGATGATCAAATAAAAAGTCAGTTTGGAGCTGCTCTCATCATAAGACATGTCTTTCAGTTCAGGAATCTCAGCCAAGTTATCAGAAACAAGTAAATAGACGGCGCAGGTTGCAGAAAGTGAAGGCTGTCCGTTATCTTTGACTGAAACAATGAGATTCTGCTTTGTACTGTCAGATTCAGAAATGTCCCGCTGCGTCCTGATTTCTCCACTGTGTTCACCAATAGTGAAAAGTCCTGGGTCAGTCGCTTTCACTATGTGATAAGAAAGCCACGCGTTTTGACCAGAGTCCGCATCCACTGCGATCACCTTGGACACCAGAGAGCCTGACTGGGCAGCTTTGGGCACCATCTCAGTCATGAAGGAGTTTCCTTCCGGAGAGGGGTATAAGATTTGTGGAGAGTTATCATTCTCATCACTTATGAAGACGCTCACAGTCACGTTACTGCTGAGTGGAGGAGAACCGTTGTCTCTGGCTAAGACGAGCACTTTGAAACTTTTCAACTGCTCATAATCAAAAGACCTCACTGCATGGATAACACCTGTGTCTCCATTAATGGATACAAATGAGGATACTGGAGCACCACTGACATCAGAAGGTAGAAGAGAATAAACTACAGTACCATTCTGTCTCCAGTCCGGGTCTGTTGCTGCTACAGTACAAACAGAGGAGCCTGGTTTGTTATTTTCTTTCACATGAGCGCTGTAAATCTGCTCCTCAAATACAGGTGGATTGTCATTCACATCAGCTACTGATAAATGAATAGTTTTAGAGGAGGATAAAGGTGGAGAGCCTTCATCAGTAGCAGTGATTGTAATGTTATAATCAGATACGAGCTCTCGGTCTAATTCACCTGTTGTCACCAGAGAATAATAATTTTTAATGGATGGAACGAGTTTAAATGGAACATTTTGCTGAAGTGAACAATGAACCTGTCCGTTATTTCCAGAATCCCTGTCCTGCACGTTAATGATGCCCACCTCTGTACCTGTCTGGACATTCTCAGGAACTGGATTATTCAGAGATTTGAGAGCAATACTTGGAGCGTTGTCATTCACATCCATAATTTCTATAATAACTTTTGAATATGAAGTTAAACCAGGCCCGTCTCTTGCCAGTACTCTTAACTCATACGTTGATTCATCCTCATAATCTATTTGGCCAGTAACCGTGATCGCTCCCGTTTTACGATTAAGAGCAAATAGTCTCTTGTCTTCCTCAGAAATGTGGCCTAATACATAGGTGATTTCACCATTCTGATCCTCATCAGCATCAGTAGCGCTCACAGTAACCACTACACTTTCTAACGGAGTATTTTCAGGCAGACTGACCTTATAAACAGGCTGACTAAACACTGGAGCATTATCATTAGCATCCAGTACAGTGACATGTATGGCTACAGTACCTGATCTCGGTGGAGTCCCGCCATCAACTGCAGTCAGAATCAATGTTAGCTCCTGTTGACGCTCACGATCCAGTTCTTTGTCTAAGATTAACTCACTGTATTTTCCACCGTCTGAATTTGTGTTAACCGCCAAAACAAAGTGCTCATTAATTTGTAAAGTGTAGGATTGGACCGAGTTCTGGCCAATATCCGCATCACTAGCCTCCTCTAATAAAAAGCGGGCTCCTTTGTCTGCCGATTCACTAATGTCTTTTTTAATAGCATCTTCCTCAAATTTTGGTGAGTTATCATTTATGTCTTGAACCTGTAAGCTGATGTGATGCAATTCTAATGGGTTTTCCAGCACTAACTGCTGTTTTATAACGCATGACGCCTTCTTTCCACAAAGCCCCTCTCTGTCAATCCTTTCTGCTACAGTCAGTTCTCCAGTATTCACATTAATGTCGCAGTAACGTTTTCGGTTACCTTCTGTATCAATGCGAGCCTTACGAGCTGATAATCTGTTCACATCGAGCCCCAGATCCTTGGCTATATTTCCAATCACAGATCCGCGTTTCATCTCTTCTGGAAAAGAATAGCTCAGGTCAGTATAGACGGTGTCCGCCATCACCACAAAGAAACAAAAAGCCGTCAGTAGCGCCGTCAACGAGAATCCTTTACAATCCATATCGAGTACTGTGCAGTTTAGTCTACACTGACTGCTACGTGAATAAAAATAAAACAAAAAAAAATAATCAAAAATTCTATTGCTGAAATGATTTCTTACAAAAAGGACCAAAAGCAAAGGAGCAGAAGCGAATGACAATGCATAAAGCAAGACACTGCCCGATGTTTTCTCCAATCAAACAAGGCGAAGTGTTTCCTCTGCTACAGTGACATCATGAAAAGGGTGGAGAGAAGCATCTAATTCATCCCTTCATAACACTGCAGGTGAACAGCGACACTGGGAGTTTTTTTTGAGAAACTACACTTCAAAACTAAACGGGTCTAAATTACTCAGTGAGGACAAATTTACTCTAACACAAGATCTTCCTCTCATATCAATCATAGAAACGTATCAGTGTGAAAGACAGACAGATAGATAGACAGACAGATAGATAGATAGATAGATAGATAGATAGATAGATAGATAGATAGATATAGATAGATCTGTAACGTAATGTAAAATCTCTCAATTACTGACAGAATGACAGTTTCTAAAAGCATTTTTTCCAAAACATTATTTAATTCCAAATCAGATCGCTTCTCAGATACATTAATCAACCACCAATATTTATTTATTTATTCATTCATTTATTTAATCATTTATTTATTAATTTATTTATTCATTTGTTGATTGATTGATTGATTGATTGATTGGAGCGGTCAAACTCGCCACCGACCTTAAAGTTTCCTGAGCAAATAAGAGCTAACTCATGATTTTCTTCAGTTTTAAGACCTTTTCTCAGGCCAAACTTTAAAGCACCATGCACAGCAAACCATCGCATAACCACCCCTACATTTGCTTGACTCCTTCTATACGTTAACTCAAGTGTGTATTTACCCCTAAAAATTAAGTTCAGAACCGAAAGCAAAAACAAGGAAAAACGAATATTTACAGAATATTTATTAGAAATTAAAAATAAAAAGGGGGAGCTTGCATCAAACGTAACTTTTCTAGACAGACGTAAAAAGTATATACATGAAAAGCACTGAAAAAAGAGAAGTTTATTCATGCTACATTAAATGAAACTCATTGTGAGTTTAGAGTTAAAATTGTCGACGCAACTCGTGTAAACAACGCAATTTGAAACAGTTGCAACTAACCTAACAGTAGTTCAAACGCTGTAATTTTTAACCATAGCAAAAAGTAAATTAGACAATGAGGAATAAGACTTACACGTACGCTAAGGTTAAAGGCAAATAAAACAAGTAAGCAACAGTCCAAAATATGTCTCTAAACATGGTGAAAAAAACATCTGCAAAAAAGGAATGAATGAGCCAATGTTCATTTACGTCGAAGCGAATACCCGGAGACACGAACATTACTTGATGTAATTATGAAAGTATAAACGTTAAAATGCGCCCACCTGAGAAGCATCGACTATTCCATCATCTAACACAGGAAAGGGATCCACACATAAACGATTTTTCTTCAGAGTCAGGTCAGCTTGCAGAGTTCCCTCATTGTAAGAAGTGACGAACTTGAAGTCACTGGTTCGTGATCCTGTGGTCAGATATGCGTCGTAATTGTAGGTGCTGCGGAGAGTTCCCGCTCCCTCCACCTCTGCGTAATTTGGAGGGAGATACGCGCTGGGAATGGCCACAGCTCCATCAAACAGCAGTCTGGGCTTCCTCCTGTGACAAAACCTCACGGCCAGGATGATGATGATGAAGGTGAGGAAGAAAGTGGAGACGGACACCAGCGCGATGATCAAATAAAAAGTCAGTTTGGAGCTGCTCTCATCATAAGACATGTCTTTCAGTTCAGGAATCTCAGCCAAGTTATCAGAAATAAGTAAATAGACGGCGCAGGTTGCAGAAAGTGAAGGCTGTCCGTTATCTTTGACTGAAACAATGAGATTCTGCTTTGTACTGTCAGATTCAGAAATGTCCCGCTGCGTCCTGATTTCTCCACTGTGCTCACCAATAGTGAAAAGTCCTGGATCAGTCGCTTTCACTATGTGATAAGAAAGCCACGCGTTTTGACCAGAGTCCGCATCCACTGCGATCACCTTGGACACCAGAGAGCCTGACTGGGCAGCTTTGGGCACCATCTCAGTCATGAAGGAGTTTCCTTCCGGAGAGGGGTATAAGATTTGTGGAGAGTTATCATTCTCATCACTTATGAAGACGCTCACAGTCACGTTACTGCTGAGTGGAGGAGAACCGTTGTCTCTGGCTAAGACGAGCACTTTGAAACTTTTCAACTGCTCATAATCAAAAGACCTCACTGCATGGATAACACCTGTGTCTCCATTAATGGATACAAATGAGGATACTGGAGCACCACTGACATCAGAAGGTAGAAGAGAATAAACTACAGTACCATTCTGTCTCCAGTCCGGGTCTGTTGCTGCTACTGTACAAACAGAGGAGCCTGGTTTGTTGTTTTCTTTCACATGAGCGCTGTAAACCTGCTCCTCAAATACAGGTGGATTGTCATTCACATCAGCTACTGATAAATGAATAGTTTTAGAGGAGGACAAAGGTGGAGAGCCTTCATCAGTAGCAGTGATTGTAATGTTATAATCAGATGCGAGCTCTCGGTCTAAATCACCTGTTGTCACTAGAGAATAATAATTTTTAATTGATGGAACGAGTTTAAATGGAACATTTTGCTGAAGTGAACAGTGAACCTGTCCGTTATTCCCAGAATCCATGTCCTGCACGTTAATGATGCCCACCTCTGTACCAGGTAAAACATTCTCAGGAACTGGGCTGTTCAGAGATTTGAGGAGTATCACAGGCGCATTATCATTGATGTCAGTTACATCTATAACTACTTTAGAATACGTCGCTAAACCTGGGCCATCTTTAGCTTGTATTTGAAGTTCAAATGTTGTTTCCTCCTCAAAATCTACTGGACCAATAAGACTGATTTCTCCCGATTTTGTATCTAGTGAAAATAATGCATGATTTGTCTTTGAAATGTGAACAAACGCATAAACTACTTCACCATTCACCCCGTCATCAGCATCTGTAGCGCCCACAGTAACCACTACAAGGTTGAGAGGAGAATTTTCAGGCAGACTGACCTTATAAACAGACTGACTAAACACTGGAGCATTATCATTAGCATCCAGTACAGCGACATGTATGGCTACAGTACCTGATCTCGGTGGAGTCCCACCATCAACTGCAGTGAGAATTAATGGTAACTCCTGCTCCCGCTCACGATCTAACTCCTTATCTAACACTAATTCACTGTATTTTAGCCCGTATGCGTTTGTATTAACATTCAAGACAAAATGTTCGTTCCTTTGAAGCACATAGCCCTGTACTGAATTTTCTCCAATGTCTGCATCGTGAGCTGGATCTAACGGAAATGTGGCACCTTTAACAACCGATTCTCTTATTTCTAATCGAATTACTTCATTCAAATATACAGGCGAATTGTCATTAATATCTTGAATATTAAAACTAACACGATGCAATTCCAATGGATTTTCCAGGACCAGCTCTTGTTTTATAACGCACGTCGCCTTCTTTCCACAAAGACCCTCTCTGTCAATCCTTTCTGCCACAGTCAGTTCTCCAGTATTCACATTAATGTCGCAGTATTTTTTCCGGTTACCTTCAGCATCAATGCGGGCTTTACGAACCGACAGTCTGTTCACATCCAGGCCGAGGTCCTTGGCTAAATTTCCAATCACAGATCCTCGTTTCATCTCCTCCGGAAAAGAATAGCTCACATCTCCATAAACGGTGTCCGCCATAACAAAAACGCTGAGACAAAGATGAAGCACGACCGAGAGCGCGCCTTTGTTTTCCATTTTATACTGCAGAACTGTTTCAGACCGGTTACATCTAAACTATCAAATATTAAACAAAATGTAAAAGCAATTGAACAATTCTGTCCAAGTAAATTCTCTCAGACCTGCTCTGCAATACGCACAAATATCCTACACCACAAAAGAAGCAGGTTATGGAAGCGACATCGCCAGTGGGTGGAGAGATTAACACCGCTTGGTTTCATAGGTAAACAGCGACACCACGAGTTATATTACTGATATGTACATTTCAAATGAATTTGTGACTGGTTGCATTAAATTTAGTATATAGCTTTAACTGTACGCTATAGCCTCATATAAAAGGGGGAATGGGGGAAATTGTGAATATGCCGTGTGGTTTAGCCCATAATAAAAGATTTGCACACTTTCACCATGTCATACATGAACATTAATTCTCTAGTCATATTAGCAGCACCATGGGCAGCAACAAGACAAAGTTCTTAAACGGAGTGTTAACTTGGTAAGAGAAAAACTGTTACTACTAGCTAAATAAAAGACAGGTCATGTAGGATGTTGAGCACTTCAAGTTCTGCTGGAAGCCTCTTCTTCCAGGAACAATTTCACATTCAATCAACTTTTTCAGTAAGAGAAGCTGTAAACAATTTATTAATGTGATTTGCACGGAAAAAAGAAAGTGTGCGGTGCAAGCAGGCATACAAGAATGGCCTTGAAAAGACTGATATACAGAGATCTATTACTAAAAAATGTATATATAATAATAAAATAAATAAATAAAAAAAGTTCCACTCTGAAAATACTATCAAAACTGGTCTGCTTTTAAACTTTTGATTTAAATCCCCACAGCTTTAATTTTGCCACATCGTTTAAAAAGAGCTGAGTAATTCCTGTTTGGTCCATGTACACGAAGCTATATTTCTTATCATGCGCAAAAAATACTGTACGGCATCTTTAATGACTATAGTCTACAACATTAACCATATAATATGCATTCTAACGTTAAAAGAACAAGCGATAATCATGTTATGTATCTGTCATCACGTGCGACGTAAAAGGGAAACCATGCAAGTATTAAAACTGCAGTCATTACATCAACGTGAGCTCACAATTAAAAATGCGCTGAGCAAAGAATAGATCGAGAGAAAAGGGACTCATTCAGTGTGTGAACAAATAGCCTAAAAATGTTTTAAATAATTTCTTGAGGCTTAAAAGCTTATAGGAAAAACAAACATAATTTAAAGTCATACCTGGGTTACACCTTCAAATTCGTCACCAGCATATCCCATCAGATTCTCAACGGATTTATCCTTCCTGAGAGTCAGGTCAGCAGGAAGAGTTCCCTCATTGTAAGATGTGACGAACTTAAAGTCACTGGTTCGTGATCCTGTGGTCAGATATGCATCGTAATTGTAGGTGCTGCGGAGAGTTCCCGTTCCCTCCACCTCTGCGTAATTTGGAGGGAGATACGCGCTGGGAATGGCCACAGCTCCATCAAACAGCAGTCTGGGCTTCCTCCTGTGACAAAACCTCACGGCCAGGATGATGATGATGAAGGTGAGGAAGAAGGTGGAGACGGACACCAGCGCGATGATCAAATAAAAAGTCAGTTTGGAGCTGCTCTCATCATAAGACATGTCTTTCAGTTCAGGAATCTCAGCCAAGTTATCAGATACGAGCAAATAGACGGCGCAGGTTGCAGAAAGTGAAGGCTGTCCGTTATCTTTGACTGAAACAATGAGATTCTGCTTTGTACTGTCAGACTCAGAAATGTCCCGCTGCGTCCTGATTTCTCCACTGTGCTCACCAATAGTGAAAAGTCCTGGGTCAGTCGCTTTCACTATGTGATAAGAAAGCCACGCGTTTTGACCAGAGTCCGCATCCACTGCGATCACCTTGGACACCAGAGAGCCTGACTGGGCAGCTTTGGGCACCATCTCAGTCATGAAGGAGTTTCCTTCCGGAGAGGGGTATAAGATTTGTGGAGAGTTATCATTCTCATCACTTATGAAGACGCTCACAGTCACGTTACTGCTGAGTGGAGGAGAACCGTTGTCTCTGGCTAAGACGAGCACTTTGAAACTTTTCAACTGCTCATAATCAAAAGACCTCACTGCATGGATAACACCTGTGTCTCCATTAATGGATACAAATGAGGACACTGGAGCACCACTGACATCAGAAGGTAGAAGAGAATAAACTACAGTACCATTCTGTCTCCAGTCCGGGTCTGTTGCTGCTACAGTACAAACAGATGAGCCTGGTTTGTTGTTTTCTTTCACATGAGCGCTGTAAACCTGCTCCTCAAATACAGGTGGATTGTCATTCACATCAGCTACTGATAAATGAATAGTTTTAGAGGAGGACAAAGGTGGAGAGCCTTCATCAGTAGCAGTGATTGTAATGTTATAATCAGATACGAGCTCTCGGTCTAATTCACCTGTTGTCACCAGAGAATAATAATTTTTAATTGATGGAACGAGTTTAAATGGAACATTTTGCTGAAGTGAACAGTGAACCTGTTCGTTATTGTCAGCATCTCTGTCTTGTACATTAATGATTCCCACTTCTGTAGAAAGTGGTACATTCTCAGGAACTGGACTATAAAGTGTGTTAATTAGTATAACAGGTGCATTGTCATTAACGTCTGATATTTCTATCACTACAGTAGCAAATGATACCAACCCTAAGCCATCAGTACCTTGAACCTGTAGTTCAAAAATGGATTCCTCCTCGTAATCAAGAGATTCTAGTAAAAATATTTTTCCGGAATTAGGATCGAGAGAGAATGTTGCTAAATCGTTCTCAGAAACGTGACTAAACTCATATGAAACCTCCCCATTCACACCATCGTCTGCATCTGTAGCGCTCACAGTAACCACTACAGTACCTAAAGGAGAATTTTCAGGCAGACTGATCTTATAAACAGACTGACTAAACACTGGAGCATTATCATTAGCATCCAGTACAGTGACGTGTATGGCTACAGTACCTGATCTCGGTGGAGTCCCACCATCAACTGCAGTGAGAATCAGTGATACCTCCTGCTCCCGCTCGCGATCTAACTCTTTATCCAGCACCAATTCACAGTAAACCCGTCCACCTGCTTTCGAGCTGACAGATAATGTGAAATGTTCATTTTGTGCTACTGAGTAGCTCTGGACTGAGTTTGTACCTATGTCTGCATCGTGAGCCTCCTCCAGGAGAAAACGAGATCCTTTATCTGCTGTTTCTCTAATTTCAAATTTAATGACGTCTTTTTTGAATAAAGGTGAATTGTCGTTCACATCCTGTACATTTATGTTAATTCGATGAGATTCTAATGGATTTTGCAGCACCAGCTCCTGTTTTATAACACATGCAGTCTTCTTTCCACAAAGACCCTCTCTGTCAATCCTTTCTGCCACAGTCAGTTCTCCTGTATTCACATTAATGTCGCTGTATTTCTTTCGGTTACCTTCAGAATTAATGCGAGCTTTACGAACCGACAGTCTGTTCACATCCAGGCCGAGGTCCTTGGCTAAATTTCCAATCACAGATCCTCGTTTCATCTCCTCCGGAAAAGAATAGCTCGCATCTCCATAAACGGTGTCCGCCATAACAAAAACACTGAGACAAAGATGAAGCACGACCGAGAGCGCGCCTTTGTTTTCCATTTTACACTGCAGAACTGTTTCAGACCGGTTACATCTAATGTTCCAATATTAAACAAAATATAAATGGACAATGCCACACAAGAAAAACCTGACAGGCTTATCGTCAGTACTCAGAAATATCCTACACCACAAAAGAAGCAGGTTACGGAAGAGACAACACCAGTGGGTGGAGAGATGATCACCACTTGATTTCGTAGGTAAACAGCGACACCACGAGTTACATTACTGGTATGTATATTTCACATGAATCTGTAAAATGCTATTTTAACATCAGCAGGCATCTTTAATTGTACTCTGTAGTTTCAGAAAAAAGGATAATTGGAAACATACAGTATGTAAAAGCCCAGAACAGAAGACTTGCGCATAACCACCATGTGATTCATCCAGCAACGCTTCATCTGTGCTTGTTTTTGCAGCACCACGGACAGCAACAAGACAGACAACATTCGTACAATCAGTGTTAAACTGGTAAAACACAATTCTTTTAGTATGTTCTATATAAAAGCTATGGTATGTAGGATGTTAGGCCTTTATCCAAATTCACTTCTGAAGTCTCTCGTGTCCTAAAAAGTTACAGATTATATCAGGTGATTCAGTTAAAGATGGACTTGACTATCAATATTTATGATTTGCAAGGAAAACAAGAAACGGTGTGGTGCAGGAAGGCATACATGATTGGATTTGGAAACACTGACATAGATTTTCTTTCAAGAAAAAGAGAAAAGAAGTCAATAACAACCTGCTCTCAAAAAAAGACTGTCCAACATAACTGTCCACAGTTATTTCAAAATTATATACTATGCACAAACACGCAGTCCCTTTTTTGAACTTTTCTATTACTTTTTCATCCAAAGTTTTCATTTCGTGACGCCGTTTAAACAGAGCCGAGACGTTTTTACACGTTTCACGTACACAGAACAGTATTTCTCACATTACACACGAAAATCATTGACATACGATATGTTCAGTTATTGTACAACATATTACTCGGTGAGATAAGGTCATATGGGACCCAGTGCAAAACAATTAAACCCTCGACCAGACGAACAGTTACCTTTCTTTTAATTGAACGTGACACATAAATAGCGTTACACAGCATTTCGTCAGAGACATTTGTTCAGTAATGTTTATATATTCGAACACTGTTGAATATTTACAATAACAAATGATGCCCAATTTTTTAACTGTCTATCCGAATCGTGTGATAGCAAATTGCCTACCTAACGATGGTGCTCGTCCATGAAGGATGGTAGAACAACGAGTTCAGTCACTTAAACATTCCAGCGCAAATAAGACTCCTTTCCATATAACACTTTACATAATTTGGACACGTGAAATTAAAGCTCAGTAACACCTTTAATCAGCCTGTGGAGGAACTACAAGCAGAAGTTCGTGTGCACAGATGAATTACACATGACTAAAGACGGTTCTGCTGGGTTCTGTTTATGTGAAATCACCTGGAAGATGGGTATGCTAAGAAGTAGAACCAAAACTATTTTTGTCAGCAAATGCTGAACGTGCCAATGTCGACAACGGTGATCTCGGTCGGTGGTGGATCAATTTGAAATTTCCTGACGGAATGGAATAATCTACAGCAGTAGACAACTAGCTAGAATCATCAGGTGACTAGGGAAGGCTAAAGACTGATTTGTTGCTCTCTTGCTGAACTAGTTATTCTCTTTACCTCTCAGCTCTACCTTTTTCATCTCTTCCTACCCATTTTGCAAAGCTGTGAACACAAACTGCGATGCTGTGCTGGCTGACTGGCTAAGCTAGCTCGCCAAGTAGTAATGCAACAAGTTTCCGAACTAACACTATTCTCTAACATGATTATCACAAGTTTACTGCTAAAAAAGGCCAGACGCGTGAGACATTTTGTGGTAGAGGTGCGGGGAGGGAGTTTGTTTTCATTTTAATGCGCACGTATCAAGCTTCAGTCCTGTCGGGCCAAAAGACTGCAGAGTTTAGCACTGCCTCATTTAATACACCTGATTCAGCCCGTCAGCTAATTAGCAAAGACTTCATGAACCAAATTCAGAGCGTTAGATGAGGGCAAACGCTAAGCTCTGCAGCACTTTTGCCTGGAAGGTCCTCAGTTTGACATGCCTGTATTAATGGATGCCTCTGTAATGGATTTTAATTTCATCTTTAGGCAGCTGGCCTGGACAGTCCAACTAACGGGTCAGGCTAGTGACGGAAAATCTCCTGATACACCTGACGGGTTAGGATCATATCGTGACTGCTCCCTCCACCGGAAGATACGCCACTGACATTACCTTTATATGAATGCTAATTTACAGCACAAGCGACAGCCATATGGAGTTGCTGTTGTCATGTGCTACAAAAGAGAGAAACCAGATGAACAATTGCTTAATTAAAGCAGTCATTACATTAAAATGGGCACTCAATTTTAAAATACACTATATAAAAGAAGTTCAATCATACCTGAGTTACACTTTCAAATTCGTTACCAGCACATCCCATCAGGTTCTCAACAGATTTATCCTTCTTCAGAGTCAGGTCAACAGGCAGAGGTCCCTCATTGTAAGAAGTGACGAACTTGAAGTCACTGGTTCGTGATCCTGTGGTCAGATATGCATCGTAATTGTAGGTGCTGCGGAGAGTTCCCGCTTCCTTCACCTCTGCGTAATTTGGAGGGAGATACGCGCTGGGAATGGCCACAGCTCCATCAAACAGCAGTCTGGGCTTCCTCCTGTGACAAAACCTCACGGCCAGGATGATGATGATGAAGGTGAGGAAGAAAGTGGAGACGGACACCAGCGCGATGATCAAATAAAAAGTCAGTTTGGAGCTGCTCTCATCATAAGACATGTCTTTCAGTTCAGGAATCTCAGCCAAGTTATCAGAAATGAGTAAATAGACGGCGCAGGTTGCAGAAAGTGAAGGCTGTCCGTTATCTTTGACTGAAACAATGAGATTCTGCTTTGTACTGTCAGATTCAGAAATGTCCCGCTGCGTCCTGATTTCTCCACTGTGCTCACCAATAGTGAAAAGTCCTGGATGAGTCGCTTTCACTATGTGATAAGAAAGCCACGCGTTTTGACCAGAGTCCGCATCCACTGCGATCACCTTGGACACCAGAGAGCCTGACTGGGCAGCTTTGGGCACCATCTCAGTCATGAAGGAGTTTCCTTCCGGAGAGGGGTATAAGATTTGTGGAGAGTTATCATTCTCATCACTTATGAAGACGCTCACAGTCACGTTACTGCTGAGTGGAGGAGAACCGTTGTCTCTGGCTAAGACGAGCACTTTGAAACTTTTCAACTGCTCATAATCAAAAGATCTCACTGCATGGATAACACCTGTGTCTCCATTAATGGATACAAATGAGGACACTGGAGCACCACGGACATCAGAAGGTAGGAGAGAATAAACTACAGTACCATTCTGTCTCCAGTCCGGGTCTGTTGCTGCTACAGTACAAACAGAGGAGCCTGGTTTGTTATTCTCTTTCACATGAGCGCTGTAAATCTGCTCCTCAAATACAGGTGGATTGTCATTCACATCAGCTACTGATAAATGAATAGTTTTAGAGGAGGACAAAGGTGGAGAGCCTTCATCAGTAGCAGTGATTGTAATGTTATAATCAGATACGAGCTCTCGGTCTAATTCACCTGTTGTCACCAGAGAATAATAATTTTTAATTGAAGGAACGAGTTTAAATGGAACATTTTGCTGAACTGTACACTGAACCTGGCGGTTTTTCTCAGAGTCTCTGTCCTGCACGTTAATGATGCCCACCTCTGTACCAGGTAAAACATTCTCAGGAACTGGGCTGTTCAGAGATTTGAGGAGTATCACAGGCGCATTATCATTGATGTCAATTACATCTATAACTACTTTAGAATACGTCGCTAAACCTGGGCCATCTTTAGCTTGTATTTGAAGTTCAAATGTTGTTTCCTCCTCAAAATCTACTGGACCAATAAGACTGATTTCTCCCGATTTTGCATTTAATGAAAACAACTCTCTATTTTTCTCTGAAATGTGATCGAAAGCGTACATTACTTCACCATTCACCCCGTCATCAGAATCAGTAGCGCCCACAGTAACCACTACAGTGTCTAGAGGAGAATTTTCAGGCAGACTGACCTTATAAACAGACTGACTAAACACTGGAGCATTATCATTAGCATCCAGTACAGTGACGTGTATGGCTACAGTACCTGATCTCGGTGGAGTCCCACCATCAACTGCAGTCAGAATTAATGACAGTTCCTGCTCCTTCTCACGATCTAACTCCTTATCTAACACTAATTCACTGTATTTTAGTCCGTATAGGTTTGTATTAACATTCAAGACAAAATGTTCGTTCCTTTGAAGCACATAGCCCTGTACTGAATTTTCTCCAATGTCTGCATCGTGAGCTGGATCTAACGGAAATGTGGCACCTTTATCTGCTGATTCTCTTATTTCTAATCGAATTACATCATTAGTAAATACAGGCGAATTGTCATTAATATCTTGAATATTAAAACTAACACGATGCAATTCCAATGGATTTTCCAGGACCAGCTCTTGTTTTATAACGCACGTCGCCTTCTTTCCACAAAGACCCTCTCTGTCAATCCTTTCTGCCACAGTCAGTTCTCCAGTATTCACATTAATGTCACAGTAATTTTTTGGGTTACCTTCTGTATCAACGCGAGCTTTACGAACCGACAGTCTGTTCACATCCAGGCCGAGGTCCTTGGCTATATTTCCAATCACAGATCCGTGTTTCATCTCCTCCGGAAAAGAATAGCTCGCATCTCCATAAACGGTGTCCGCCATAACAAAAACGTTGAGACAAAGATAAAGCACGACCGAGAGCGCGCCTTTGTTTTCCATTTTACACTGCAGAACTGTTTCAGACCGGTTACATCTAATCTATCAAATATTAAACAAAATGTAAAAGTAAATGAACAATGCTGTCCGAGTAGAATATCTCAGGCCTGCTTTGCAATACGCACAATTATGCAACACCACGAAAGGAGCAGCTTATGGGAGAGACAACGCCAGTGGGTGGAGAGATGAACACCGCTTGGTTTCATAGGTAAACAGCGACACCACGAGTTACATTATCAGCATGTATATTTCACATGAACTTG